AGTACCTTTTAGTTTCGATTTGTTTGAATTAAAAAAAAATAATTAAATAAATAAAAAGCTTTCTTGTGACCTCAAAATCAAGTGAAAAATTTTTTTCAGCATGTTCCAGTTACCTGTTGAAGTATGCTCATGTCTGACTTTACCAATTGCAAATTTTCCACAAGTCCAACAAATCAGTTTGAAACTCAGCTCTTTCTTTCGGCAGTAAACAAGTCAGTGAAAATAGCTTCTACCTACAGTTACAATTCCATTACCAAAGAGTGTTGAGTGTTAGATAATAGTGCGTTCACTGATCAAACTGAAAAGTGTCCAGTTATTCAGTTACTTGGCACATCTCTAGAAAAACTGGCTTTTTTATTAGTAACAACTATTTGAAATGCTTTTCTACAAACTAACCACAGAAAGCACTACACCATAGATCACGTCATCCATCCACACTCACTATTGCGCCCACATTCCCTGACAGACACATAGATTTGGACTTTTAAAAGTTCTCCTACCACAATTATGAACAAAAGACTGGCTAGATGATGTGACTGGCATGCGTCTATTTTGACTTTCAGTGGTTTGAAAGATAAAGTTAGTGAACTTGACTCTTTTATCCTGTCTGCTCAAATTGTGCTCAGATCACTTGTGAGAAAAACCAAGAAATAAGTAACAGAGGAGAAATAAGTGGTGTACTATTCTGAATAAGTCACCGATTACTTGTTCTATAAAAAAAAAAAAAACTATGTAATCAGTGGCTCTACTTAAGCTGTGCATTAAACAAACCTTTTTTTTTTAAACATTATGTATATTTGGTTTGACACTATGTGAGTGGACGACATGTGATTGAACATTGAAGTAGCATTTAATCATAGGCACTTCATGCTCTATGCCAGGACATTTTAATGAGCCCCTTCCTCGCCCTGTGGGGCCCTGGTGTTTGTTGCTGCCCTTTGGCATATAAAGTTTCAGATGAGCACATCTCGTGGCAGCTAGTGGAAATTTCCACTTCTCATTCAGATGTTTAACTATTATTCAGTAGAATGCTGACAAGAACTACTGTACGAAGCCTGTAAACAATGTAGTATTAGTTAAAATAACCACATGAACCTGAAAAGTAAAGTGTGGTGTGTCTTTTAGACTTGCCGTTTTTATTGCTTCTTTGATTTAAAAGAGTGGCTGACTCAGCTGTTTGAAATGACAATTTGAGGCATAGAGGCTTAGGAAGGCCTTGTTTGCTCTTGTAATATGTGTGCAAATGATTCAGACACAATAAAGGATAACATCTCGGCGGAGAGGTGGGTGGCTCCGGGATTTTATTGCAATTGATAAAACCCTATAGTCTGTCAAGCATGACAAATAATTTATGCAACACTTAACTTACTTACTAAGGAGGATAAGGAGGCTAATTGTTTTGTCTAAAACAGCAAAAGAGACAGGAAATCCAGCTTTGTGCCTCAGGACATTCAATTCTGTGTAAAAGTGTTTGCTCTATCTATAAGCTTTTATTTTTCATAATTGCATAGTTCAGATCTTCAGATTGCATTATCAAACAGAACCTGGGTAAATACAAAAGCACTGGCTATGCTACTATTTTCAGCAGTAAATATATCATAATTAATGACCAGTAATCGGGCATCAGTTTTTAGATTGCTGTTGAGAAAATTTGCCTCACTCTGCTTTGTGGATTTGTTTTATTTCAGTTTTATTTATAGTCATGCCACAGCATCTCAACTGTATTTAAGTCTCAATTGTATTAAGACTTTGACTTATGGCTGTGGGATATGAGAAAAATCTAATATCCTGATATATTTTTGCTATATCACGATACACAATATTCTTAAATGAGCTCCAATGTTATTTTAAACAAGTCTCCTTGCAGCATGATGTCACCCACGCAGGGTTCCCGCCCCATTTCCCTGCTAGACTAAAATGTAAGCTCATATAAAAAGGGATGCAGTATTTTGCTATGAACTGTCTACACAAGGGATGTCAAACTCCAGTCCTCAAGGGCCACTCTTCTCAAGTTTTATTTTTGTATTTCCTGTAATGTTAAACAGTCTGTTGGGTATATCAAGCTCAAGACATTTGTGTTGAAGCAAAACTTGTAAGATTAGCTGCTTTATTAAATAACTTTATTTTTATCTTGTTACGCTTATGCTAGTTATCTTAAGTAGCCAAGCATTTTGGCAAATAATAGTTTTTTTGTCCAAACTGGACTCCTATCAAATTAAACTGATGGATTTATGTTGATGACTGGAAAACTACAGCAAATATTTGTTTTGACCAACAGCACCGGTCAAAATTTATCTGTTGTATTGAGCAAATATGTTACCACATTGATGACTCATGTGGTAACTAGTAAGTCCCCTCATAAAATATTGCCCTCTGGTCCACTCTGTAGTATTGATTGGCCAGAGGTTTTTATTTGCGTGGAGCAGATGTTTCTATTCCACTTTGTTCATGTTTTGGAGTTGTCTTTTGAACAATTTCTAATAATGTGTTGATTGAGATGTGTATCATCTGTTTTGCAACCCCTACAGAAAGTTCCCCCATGATTAAGAACAGTGTTATGGTAATAAAAAATACCAAACTAGCCGGGTAAATCCCCTGTTTACACAGAAAATTAGAATCTGCAAAGAACAGATAAGGTTAATGAACAAATAAAATAAAAAAAAAATCAAGAACTTAAAACTAGTATATACAGGAGGCAGTGAAAACCAACTAATAAAAATAGAAACATAAGGAGGAAAAAAAGTGAGATATGTAAAATAAAAGGTTGGGGCCATATTGTCATGTATTATGCTGAATTTACTTTGTTTTATTTTATTAATTATCATCCCATTTCTTGGTTGTTTTTTCCCCCCCTTCCAGTTACTTTCTGTAGAGACCACTTCAATAAATTACTGAAATAACTTTAATTTTAATAATACTCTAACTCCATAATCAAGTGAAGTATATCACATAGATTAGACATAGATAGATAGATGTATGGAGAACAATTGTGCTGCAATAATTACTCTTTTTACTATAGCAACATTAAAAAGAGTAGTAACTAAATGGTTTCAAAGAATCTATCCTTTTTCTCTTAAAAGTAAACACATCTATTTTTACTCTTGTTGGGTAAAAACCCCCAAAAACTTCTCAATACAAAATTAGGTTTTTGGCATTTAAAAGCATTTTAACAATATAATTTGAAATTTAAGTTAGACGATATGATATTTCATTTCGTCTAAACCTGAGGAGCATTGTGTCTGCTCTTTCTCATCTCTCATGAATCTGGCGTGCCGTGCACATTCTTGTTGCTCATTACATAATGGGGTGAGGCCATGTGAAAACAAATGAGGGAGAGAGAAGAGACGATTGGTAAGAGACTCGGAGTCAAAGATAAAATCATTTCTATTGTTGAGCAGCCATGAGCTGCTGTTAGTTAGCATATCATACCATGTTTACCTTCTCTTGTGGGATTAATTCCTTGGGCTGTTTGGAATTATGTCACAGGGAGAGCTGAAAGGGAAACAAACCACTTTATGGAATCCATTTGAGTTGGGACATATTGGATATTCTTAATTGGATACTTGCATTCTTTTACTTCAGAATTACGATATTTGTGAAAAACAATGTGATTACTTACCAAGTCAAATACGTATTCAGCTTTTAAAGATCTAGGGCACCAGAGAAAACTCATTGGGCTCTGTTTTATAAAATTGCAAGCCTGTCGGCCTTTGTTCAGAAAATACTGTCACTAAACAAAGAAGTTATGCCTCACTTGTTTGGATAATGGTGAAAGTTATTCACCATAACTTTGAAACCGCTGAGTCATTGTTGACCTGCATGGAAAACTCAGCCATTTGCTTCTCTTCTTGTTTTTTTTTCTTTTTCCTCGAATGTCTTTTCGGTCTGAGTGTAATGTTGTTCCTATACTCTCATTGGCAGTGCTTCACTCTACGTACATTTCTGGATTATGTGGGATGTTAAGTGTGAGTGGGTTTGGATTTCTGGATCACTGGGTTCTCCCAAGATACTGTCGGTCAGCGATTCTTGACACCAAAGGAGTTGTTGGCAGATTCAACGTTGTGGCACCGAGTTGAAAACTGAGTCACATAATCTAATTTCCATGAGTAATAATGTTCTCTAAAGAGCAAAATACTGTGTCTGTCTTTGATAAGACAGACACCGAAAAGGAGTCGCAATGGAGACTTATAGACTATATGACTTATAGTGTAAAGTAACCACCAAACTTTTGCCAAAAACTAGGACCATATTAATGTTCAAGTATGTTTGTATTGTATATTGGTTAAAATACTGACAGTGGTAATTATTCAAACAGAGGTACCAGAAGAAAATTACAACCTTAACAAAAAAAAAGTGAATCACAGCATTTAAAATTCAGCAAACAAAATAAAAAGTGAGGTTTATTTCAATAAATCGACAGATTAAGCTTGTTAATCTGTCGAGAATAAAGTTTTCTTCTTGGTTATTTGTTTGAAACATATTTTACAACCACAAATGGTTACTGGGACTTTTATGTGACAAAATTACTACATAATAAGCAGTGCCCTGTAGAATGATAGTTTTGTCTCACCCATAGCACTTTGCACCTAGGCCAAAAGTTAAAATACGGTCTCATCTTCTCCAAAGGTTTGCTTTGCCCCCTCATATGACTTATAGCTATTTTGTATTTGTCTTCTCCATAAAATCTTAGTTTAATACAATGAAGTTTGTGGTTGTGTGATAAAATGAAGAGGCGTGGATACTTCTGCAATCCGTCTGTAGATTTGTCAGAGTGTTTGAGTCTGTGTTTTTCCAGCGGTGTCTGTTTCTTACTGTTTATAAGCAAGGGGAGGTCACTGTGTCTTTGATAAGACAGACACCGAAAAGGAGTCGCAATGGAGAGGGGCACGGGTTCAATGTGAGCTGATATGAAAGGGAGACAAAAGTACTGTGGTCCAAAAATCTTACCAGCAGCAAACTCACAAGTTTCTTTCTCAACAACACATTATGTCACTTTACAGAGGCCTGTGCTGCAAGTGTGTGCAGACTTTTCTGTTCTTCAACATGAAGGCACCACTTGGGTATGTGTACATCAAAAGAAATGGTGCATGTATGAATCTGTGGTCTGCATGAATTTACATGTTTCATCAAGTCATTTTAACGATTAGTAATATGATAATTTATTAAAAGAATGGCAAAATGTCAAATTGTTTTGTCTTTCCAGGGGTGTTTGTCATTTTGTTGTAGCTCAGTGACGTGTTTCTGTTCAAATAAGGGAGGAAATGTCTCACAGATGATCTTACAAAGTTAGACCTTCAACTTGTCATAGCAGTTCTGTTGGATCCATTTAATAAGTGTAATGTAGCAGCCTCATCACTCAGCTAACTTGTGTGTTCTGTCAAATATTTATGTAAAGAGCTGAGTGAAATCCCCTGCCAGCTGCTAAGACTTCTAGGCATGATTATCTTTAAAGACTGAAGAGCGTTGTTGACTTTCAGCTCTTATGCACCTCTGCACAACCTGACCGGCCTTTGTGTCCTCATTAAACTTCCTGTCCTGCATACTTGTTTGCTGCAGTCATCCATGAAACTTAGCCCAGCTGCAAGTTTTTGGTCATAGTAAGATGTTTAGACATTTATTTGTAAGAGAACCATCAGATGCATAAGGTAGATGTGGGAACACTTCCTTTGCATAAAGCTTTAGAGAGGCATATCTTACGGGTGTTGAGAAGGAAGGGGTTCCTTATGCAAGGACTGAGTGTAGCAGCAGTTCAGGGGCTGAGGTTATCCTGATGTTGTATAACTGACTGCCCATTTGTGTGGGGGCAAGTTTACAGTTATCCAGGGGATTGTTAATGGTCCTAAAAGTTTCCACAGGGGGAGTGTTGGGGAATGAAGCTGTTTGGGGTATGAGGCCTGAGACAGCGTCCCTAAAGGAGCAGACAGTTATTTCTGTCATTCCTCCTTCTATTGCTCCTCCCCCTCCTCTTCCACGGTCCCTTTTAAGTGAAGATGTGGGCATGCCTAGTCATGTTCCTTTAGAGTGAGAGAACTTGACCAATAGGCTGTTATTGGTATAGCATTACTTTTATGAATTAGTTTATAGGGCTTTAATGATGGGGTTTGTTTCAACAAATGATGTGCAGATAGTTTAAGCTCTTTTTCTTGTTGCAGCATAATAGCTACAATCAGCACCTTCCAAAAGAAATCCACTTTCCCTTTGAACTTTTTCACATTTCTGTTCTGTTGCAATCACCAACTTCAGTGAGCACGTGACCAAACAACACAGATATACTTATTCTAAATTTATGAATTATCAGGCCTTAGTATTTGAAATGTAGGTTTTTAGTTGGAAAAAGTTTTTGAAAACGATGTTTTATCTCCATTCTTTTTTGGTCAACAAATCACAAGGAAGTACTTTGATCTTTCTGGTTGTAACAAGATGAAATACAAAAAAGTTCCAAGGGTACTAATATGGTTATCAGGCAATGTATCTGTCTGTTTTAAAATAGCGGGGTTTATGTGCATATAGCTCCATTAAATTGTAATAGCCATAGAGAAAGCTAAATGTTATGCATGCCGCATTGCCCGTATCCTATTTGTTTGACATTGAGAGATGCATCTGGTATTGCTTTCAATTTAGATTATGTATTTTTAGGTTCAACCAGTTTATGCAAATCGGTTAAAATGAGCATCAAAGTTTTAAGTGAAGTCAAAATTTAAAAGGTGCATTTTTAGGATTGAACAATACATTTAAGGGATGCACAATATGTTGGCACTAACATTGGTATGTATGGTGATATTACAAATTTCCTTTTGTTTCTAGAGGGGGAGAGAAGACAGTTGGTCATGTGGCATTTGTTTGGTGATGTGTCAATAATAGTGATGCAGCTCAGGACTGAGGGAAGTTTAACTGAAACAGAGAAGCTGTGGAGAAGTCAGCAAGATGGTCAACTTTTTTATTAAGGTGTTGAAAATGTAGTGAAATGTATAACATGTGTACATATTTGTTATCCTCTATCACAGAGATATTAATATTAGAAATAAATACTTGCCTAGTTGCATTAGTTGAGTTGTATTTTGTCTCTACTGGTCCCTTCACCAATTAAGTTCATGTGGTCTGTTAAAATTCATTATGCATCGCTGTAATTGGATTAAATGTTGTCAATACCTACACTTGGCTAACATACATATTAAACAATTTTAAGCTGTTTTAATTTGTAATATGTTTAATTATATATTGAGAGACACTGCAATGTTAAAATTGGGATAAATTATTTTCCTGAATGACCACATGAATAAAGTATTGGTGAGGGCCAGATAATTAACTGAACTCTTTTTTTAGCAGGCGATGGTACCAGGTCCCATGGCAACTGAGCAATAACATACATTATGCTGTATGGACAACTGCATTGTTAGTGACTCTTTTAGAAAAACAGTAATACCTAAGAACAGCTGTCAGGGCCTTTGATTTCAGTAAACAGGAGTTAGGCTGCAAAAAATTGGCCAATTGGGTTGATATATTGATCCTTTCAACACTTTAAAATTAAAGAAGCACACTTGTGTTTGCATGTAGGATTAACACATGCAATTTTTTTTTTTTAACTCTTTATTTTCAATAAATGTTTTACATCAACATATACACACAATAGACATACAGAGAATATCAACTCAAGTGACGAGAGTACATAGTAGTGATGAATAATACAAACTCAATTTGAAAAGTACACGAACAAAAAAAAATTAAAAATAAAAATAAAATAAATAAATAAATAAATATATATATATATATATATACACACACATATATATATATATATATATATATATACATATATATATATATATAGAGGTGTCAAGGTTACATTATGTATTTAGTTATAGGTCTCCATCTTATTTCAAAGGTCCCCATCTTAAGTTGTAGTCTTGATGTTGTTTTTTCCATTATATAGACTTTTTTAATCCTATCTCGCCACTGTGCTATATTGGGAGGTTGTGGCCTTAACCAACTACATGTTATGCACTTTTTTGCAATCAGAAGCAGAACTCTGATCAAGTATTTATTATCTTTGTTGATCATGTCAGAGGGTATTATTCCTAGAATATAGACGGATACATCCAGATCTAATTGAATGCCCAAAATACTCTTTATATCTGTTTGGACATTTTTCCAAAACTCGACTATCTTCGGGCAATCCCAAAATATATGAGTATAATCCCCCACATTTCCACAATTTCTCCAACAGAGCTGGGATGTTCTACAGTATTTAGATGTGATGACTGGAGAGTTAAAAAAACGCTTCTTAACCCTCCAGTCATACTCCCTCCATGTCGGGCTGTTAGTTAGTTTGTGTCCAGATCTAAATGTTTCTTCCCAATCCTCATCCGCTATTATTATATTAGCCTCCAATTCCCATTTCTCCTTAATTTCTTTATTGTTAACATTGGATTCATATTGCAGGCTTTTGTATATTTTTGAGATGAGTCCTTTTTTGATTCACCTTTTGCTGTTAACACATGCAATTTTTAACTTGATATTTTTTATTGACCTATGAGGGCCAATAGTACAAAAGGGATTGATGTGGCACCCCCGGGTTGTAAAATTTGTAGGTCTGCGCTAAATACTGTTGATCTTCCACAAGTATCTTTTTAGTCAGTTTGCTGATTTTAACTTTTAAAATACCTGAGCTGTTCATTCATAATAAAAAAGATTCAAAATGACAAACTTTAGATTTACTTTGTATTATCTTATGTCCACACATATTATGTCTCTCAGTCCATACAGAATGTGCAACTTCTTATATTTTGTATGTGTATGTCTCTCTTCGTCTAGAATATCCATGAGCTCCGATTTCCCACACTACAGTTTCAAGATGCCAAATATAGGGTTCCAGAACCTTCCTCTTAATATCTACATTGTGGTCTTTGGGACAGCCATCTTTGTCTTCATCCTCAGCCTCCTCTTCTGCTGCTACCTGATCAGGTAAGAGCTGTGGACATTTTAGTAAAAAGTCATACAGGAATTTCTTTAGCGTTGCAACTTTACCGAGTGTAGTAGATCTAAAGTCAGATGATTCTACAACATCCACATCCGCTTCAGAGGATGTGTATCTAAAACCGTTTTTGAAAATCGTTTTCAAAAATGGATAGAATATTTCAACAGCACAGTTTAGAGAATACACTTTTCTTAATAAAATTCTCTAAATTATTTAAGAGATCTAAAGTTGCTTTCTACGATCATGGCACTTTAAATCTTAACCTCTTCATTGTTCTTATTTTATTCCTTTGTGTTCTGGCTTTCCACTATTTCTTTTGTATTTGTTAGATTTCCACAGTGATTTTAAAAGTGCCAATTTTAGTACTTTATTTTAATCATCTGGAAGCATGTTTTAATCCAGCAAGATTTAAGAGTAATCCTTTAAATATCCATCATACAAAAACAATCTTTACTTCAGTAGTCAATTCCTTGCCCCTCTTTATACACTGGGTGTAATCAGATTATCCTCAGTGCTGGAAATACAAGGTTTTTGTTTTCAGCCAGTAACAAACTGAACACACATAATGCACTACATTGTTTTATCTGAGACAGCGAGAAGCAGCAGTTTCCCCTAAAACTCTCCCCTCGCCATCTTGCCATATCCTGTCATGCAGGGTAGAGGGTAAGTAAAAATGACTACTCCTACAATTTCTCATTTACCTGTAAATTAGAAACTCTTCATGGCTTACACATAGTTCTGTGTTTCAGCACTGAACGCCAGGATCAGCTTAGCAACTAGAAGTAAAAAGAGACCTTTTTGCTCTGTAAAAGATTTCTTTTACAAAGCTGAAGAATTAACCTTCCAAACGATTGGAGCAAAATTATTTGTACATACTTTGCAGTATTTTCAGTGTTCAGTTCAGTGCATTCTTGCTGAAAACTGGTAATCTTAGCTATGCCCATTTGCTAGCAGTGTTCTCATAGACCTATCATTGTTGTAACAAAAAAAGCAGACATCAGAATTTTTGCCGCAGCTAACTGGCAGCAAAAATTCAGCTGCAAATTTTCTTCAGCAAAACGTTGCTTAATGTTCCATAAAGGCATTTTGTGAGGGATTTTTTTCACTGCATGCAACTCCTCATTAAGTGTTAGCCTTTATTTAATTTACATTTTGAACATTTTCTGGCAATAAATGGGCTTGTATCCTAGTGTAGTGGCCCACACTGTTGTCAGATGGTGTGTTTACAAGTGACTTGATTACAAATGTGTAATTTGTATCTCCAGTCCTGATTTTTCTACTTTGAAAATAATTCTGGTGAAAACCAGCTAAGCTTTAAAGGTCACAGAAGGGTAATTCTGTTGTTTTTCTGCATTGCATCTCTTGCTTTATGGACAGATGATTAAAAGATGCCGGTGTTAGAGTTGACATGCAAAATTCCAGCAGAGCCAAATTTGCACACACACTTTGACACAAGGCAGCCTCTCACAGAAACCCTCAACCACCTCTCTCAGTGGTTTATCAGCCTGTCCACACGCGTATAAAATATGTAGCAAGGTTTGCCTAAATGTTGACCATGTTCCTGTTGCACATAGTCTTGACTTTCTGCAAATAAACAATAACAGTGTTTGAGCAGTTGGTTTATTTTGTAGTGCCAGCAAAAGAATGTGCAACTACCAGATATGTCTAGATGAATAAGAAAACATGGTTTTATCATAAATTAATTCCTTGTTGGAGACACTGCAATTGCAAAATTGTTTTTTCTTCTTTTTTTTTTTTTTTTTTTTTTTGCTTTACAGGAATATTCACAAAGTTTTGTGCACGTTTGTAATGGAAATGCAGCTAGTAAAGTTCCTGGCCTAAAAGAGAGAGAAACAAAATCCATCTGCATTGACAACCTTTGCTTGCAGACTAAATCACTTGCTTAAATTGTAGACTTAATAATGATGGGCGTCTCGAACAACCAATGGACTACAATTTAGATGCAACTGACTCAGTGGTTTGCAGGCAACAACACTAATGTTAAAACTGGCCTCAAAGCTTCTCATTGGTTCTAAATTGGAAAAACTGTTTTAGTTTAATCAGTCTCCACTACATTTGATCAAAATTTAAAACGTTTAGTCTTGTCAAATCTCATTTGAATAATTTTGGACTGATCCAAGATTTTTTAAAAGTCACTTTGAAATGTATAAAACCTTTCTTCAGTTGGTAAAAACCAAAAAAGAGCATTTTGATGCTTTTTTTTGGCATAAAAATCACCATTTGTAAGTCATAGGTTTTTTATGTAGTCATAAAAATCCTAAAGTTTTGTAGCAGCACAACTGGACTATACAAACTTTTTTGTATTTGTTAAAACAAATGGAGGGAATTCCTAGACTTTCTGAAAATTTGAAAGCTATTATGAACCCAATAATGTGTAACATCTCAGCTGGATGCATCATTACTCCTTAATACCCGATTCTGATTTTGACACTGCTCTGCAATTCAGATTTTCTGATACTGAGTTATATTGACTGGTCAATTGGCTGGTATATCAAACAATTTCCATTATTAATATTTGATTAATGTTTTAATATTTTTAAAACTACACATGCTGGATGGCGAGAGATGTCACATTCTTTTCATTTGTCCTCTTCATCTGCCTTCGCAACCCAGTCGAACACCCCACATAAATCAGTCACAATCCAGTGACCCTTTGAACTTTGACCCCTCATCTCCCCCAAACCATTTGGAGTCTCTGCACCTCTACATGCTGACCTCTTTCAAAATGTCAGTTTCTCTCCTAGACTGTGCTGCTTGTTTTACAGATCCCTCTCACTCTGCTGCGAGAGGTTAAGGTTACTAGTAATGGAGGTAAATCTTACAAACCTACGAATTTCTTTTGTCTGTTTTACTTTTTTTTCCCCCGTCCCTTTTCTATATCATTTAATCTCCCTCTGAAGTATGTGCTGTGGATTCTCTTCTCATTAAATGTCCATCATGTTCTCTCGCTGTTCTCTGAAGTATGTGTATTTAAAGCTCAATTTGTGTCTGTCCCAACTTTCTTGGAACTGTGTAAGACTTGTTTAAACAGCCTGCAGCTCCTAATGGCTGTTAAAATCTGACTTAATTATAGTTTTACCAGAGGTGCAGTGTTTTGTAAAGAAAGGACGGCTTAAAGTATTCCAAGAATATCATCTGTTTATATGTAATTTGACTTACTCCTGCCTCAGTTGGCAAAATAAATCTCTGAGGATTCTAAGTTTTGTTTCAGGAGATATTCTGCCTTCTTTCTGTGTTGGTTGATTAAAGCCATATGTTTTTAGTCAGGAAGTTATTTTTGGCCTGGTGAATTAAATGACAGACTGAACTTTGTGACTCAACAGACTCTGCCAAGACATTTATTCTGCTCTTTCTGTTTTAACCTTCTTTCTACGTACATTATATGTAAAATTATCTTCTAATGCATTTGCTAATTTACATGAAAGCCAACGTTGTTGGATAATTTGTTCTCTTTGATCAAAGCCAGTTTTGTCCACCTCCTTTTTTTTTTTCTTTCTTTTTTTGTGTCCACCATTGCGGGATGCAGGATATGTAACCATGTTAATGTTAATCAATGAATTACTAATCAGAAAGGTGTTTTGTCTGTCCGTCTCCCCAGGTTACGGCACCAGGCACACAAAGAGCTGTATGCATACAAACAAGTAAGATAACTCTTGCAAACACACTCACACAGTTCCTATTTGAAGGTATAATTTTAATAAACATACGTTAATGTTACATCTAATCAAAATTTTTTGCAGTGTGGAAAGATTATATATACATCATGCTACTGCAATCGCTTTAAAAACCAAGAAATGAATGCACTGGTTTGGTCGACTGGCTTTCTATTATCACAGAGTCAAATATATACTCACTATATTGATGTTTGAATTGATATTTCTTAGCTGGTTCCAAATCAAAACCCATCAGCTATCTTCTTATAGAAGATAGACACTGTTCTTAAAAGAGAAAATAAAACCCCATTAAATATTGGTTGATTGCTTGGCACAAACTTTTCTAAGTACCTGTTCAGGGGTGCTAGAGTTCACTTGTTTCTTCCTACTGGTGTTTTGCTGAGCTTTCACTCATGCCCCCCCAAAAAGGCTTTATATTCATGGGTAAAAACTCTGGTTAATTTAAAACGCACAATACCACTCCAGTGTAAAGCCTCCTAAGATGGTCATTGAGTTTTGGGCATCAAGGACAGTAGAAATCGATCCAAATGGGAAAATTGTAGCATATTGTAGGAATGGAGAGTCTGAGAGAACGGCACCTAAGTATGATAGACCATGAATTATTGCATCCACACAGTTTTTGCAACTGCAATTTTGCACATAATGATACTGGGATGTTGAATCGGATAGAGGTTCTGGCTATTCCAGCAGCTTAATGTTGAAATGCTTTATCTATTTCTAAAAGGATGATTGTTGTGTTTCTGGAAGTAAATATTGTATGTTTAGTCATCAGATAATCTGTATCAGTTCTGTAGAAGAGTTGTCAAATATCCAGCCAGAAATTTATCGGAATCTTATTGATGGATTCAAAACACAGTGTGGACAGAAAGTTACTAATGGAGGTGTAACCAAATATTAGTCAGGGAGTATGTGTATATCTGAGCCTGTACACTCAATTTTGATCATGTGTGATTTGGAGAAAATGTTCATCTTCCACCCACTAAAAAATACAGCAGAAAATTGATTTATTTATGCTGATGATGAGTATGCAAAAATGTATAGTGATGTATTACATTGTGCATTATGTATCAAATATATTGCACTGGGATAGTGAAATGCACAAAGTCTATGAAATTGCAGAGAAAAAAGTCCTAAGCCCCATTATCTTTGAAGCGTACAATTTCTGTTGTATGAGTTAGATTGACAGCTGTTGGTATTTCAAGGCTTTTGTCGCTTCTTTAAAAAAAAAAAACTAAGTACGACATAATTCTCCTGTGCACTCAGAACTTTTTAAATGCCAGGCTATGCTGCAAGAAATGTGTCCAGTGTTTATTAGTGGAGAAGAATGAGAGCAACATGCAGCCAACAAAGCTACTCCAACAGAGAGACAGACATGCTGCTTATTCACCATGCTGCTCGATAGTTAAATAACCTGATATTGATTAAAACAAGTGCAGAAGCAATATCATTTCCTAGCGGAGAAGTCTTTGCCTCTGTAATTAGTCTCTCGACTTGTGACCTTAAAACATCACAACATTCGACTCCTCTGTTGGCTATGGAACAGCATCAAGCTCAGAGTTTGCAAACACTTCTACACTTGAATGTTTTATTTGAAAACTAGCAGCTGATTTGGAACTTATTCTATCAAATCTGTTTTAAAATAATGAATAATTCAATAGAATTGTTTCCTTTGGTTGTATTAAAAAGCATCTTTCTCCTCATATGTTTGGTTTCCCTTTCAGGTCATTCAGAAGGAAAAAGTCAAAGAGCTAAACTTGCATGAGGTAAGCACTAAACATTTTAGATTTTTCAATATGAAAATTGTCTGCTCTTTTGTAGTCGCTGGAATATTCTGAATTGAACTTATTCTGGATCAGAAAATGGAAAGTTGTTTGCTGTTGAACAATAGTTGAGCAAACATGTTGTGTTCACTTAGCGTTGTGTCTAGGTGGAAGCTAATAACAGGCTGTGTTGTGCAAAAGCTCCTGAACCTGACTTGTTGTGTAGCTATTAAAATGAAAATATTTCTGTATCTACTAACGGCTACCTCATAATGGAAAAGTGCTTTTTACAAGGTTTGGTTTGAAAACATGGGTGTTATTAGATCCTGAACGGCAGTGAAGCTTAATGTATACCATGTGAATGTTTTGAAGTAAGACAGCCTCAGTATGAAAACACTGAAATCACATGCAGACTCAAACAAAAACCCCATTAACTTAAGTTGACAAAAACTAGACTTGTTTAAATTCTTAAGTTTAAATTCTTAATATAATGTATTAAATGGTTGAGGAAACAAACGTTTTGGAACTCCTGCTCTTAAATTTAAATGAAAATCTTTAAAAAGGGCTTCAATAAATATTTAACCTCAAAGCCATAAATTCCAGTAAAATGCATTGTGGTTTGTGATGTGATAACAGTGTAACTCAGCTTTGCTTTTTGGGGAATCTTTTTGCTGTTTTGTTATACATTTGTTTATTCAGGCAGCAGTAAAGACTGGGACATTCATTGTTTTCTTCATTTCATGCTCACATGACTCATTGCCATGTGAAAACTACCATCTCCTGTTTAACTCATCGGTCTCAGCATTATTCTAGTCTCAGTGGCACTGTTGCATAACAGTAACCTCCCCTAAACTGAGTTGGAAAATTACTAGTAAGCAGCAGAACTAGGTTTGAATTAGAGTCGTGGTGAACTCCAGTCAAGATCCCCAACCCTTTAGCACCGGGAATCTCATCTTCACACCAACTCCAGCACAGTTTATTGCCAGCCTCCCGTTGGCCCCTCTGAGCATTTTTTTTTTTTTTAAGAAACCGAGAGAAACTGATTCAAGACTGAAACAACATAAAGAAGTCAAGGACAATAATGCACACTCAACTCAGACTGAATGACCCACTTTTGAATATAAAGTATTGTCCTAGAGGCATGAGTGAAGCTAGGTCGAATTTCAACATTTTAATGGAAAGTAAAGAAAAGAAACTTTGTTGGGATTGGTTTGCAGGTCATGGCATGCCGGAGAATGTCTGATGTGTAACCTAATCAGATCTTCTAGAAGAGTCTCTTCGCAGTTTTTTTTTTTTTTTTTTTGTATCCGGAAATTAACCAGCCTGCTTGGCACACATAAAAATGTGTTATGTAAACAGTGAACTTCCATGCAATATAGTTCAAAATATTTTTCCATTAAAGTTATCAAGGTAATTTTTTTTTACCTTTTAAATCTAAAACAAATACTGATTGTATTTATAACATCTGGTGTTAAAAATGTCAGTAATTTGGTTTGCTTTGTTTGATAAAATAGTGAGAACTATGCCTTGAATATTTTGGGATGCCAAGTATTATATCTCAGACTGAAGCCTGCACAGAACTTTATTGTAAATAACTAAGTTGTTTTAAAGTACAGAAATACAGTTATTAGGACTTTTATACTTTAGATCCTGTCAATGACCAGTAGAGTTCAAATGTTTGTTTATTGTTGTTGAATTGATGCAATTTGATACTACTGGTAAATGTATATTCATTGGGTTCTGTGGAAGCCAGATAAGAAGTATTTGAACATGTCACATCCACCGTCTTCAATATATACATAGGACAAATATTTGTGCATACCAAGTGAAAATAAAGTCTCTATGTACCTTGTTTTGCTATTTCCAGTGGTTTGTAAGTCACAAAATGAGTAAAAAGTTTGTAAAATTTTCATGTCTACATTCACTTCTGTGACATTTTGTGATTTGGAGAAAGTTTGACTGAAAGCTTACATGACTATTAGTGAAAGGGATTTGTTTTTCTCTGTCAATCTCAACTGTGAGAGTGAAATCTCAGGCAAGGCATTCAAGAAAAGGAAGAACATTGATCTGTTCTCCAATGCAGAGAGCAAAGCAGACATCCAAACAAATAGCTGCTCTGTGTCCAAAACTGGTCAGAAGAAAAAGCTTCGAGCCCCCATACAGTTCTTTTCAGGCACAGCTGTCTGTCCAACCATAAATCTGGGTTGGCTAAAGGAATCTTTGTTGCAGCTGAAAACCTTCTACCATAAAAGAGCTGTCCACTAGGTGAATGAAGTTTTGTGAGTGTGGGTAGACAAACCGCTTCTATGCTTATGCTTTGTTGTTTGAAGTTCCTGTCAGTCGTTGAATTGGTTGCTGTTAACTCTTGGAGCTGCTTGGTGTGGGCACAGTGTGGCCTGTCATCTCAGGTCACTGACCAGACATCAACCGCACACTCCGTCCATAACAAGTCTTTAGCGAGATTGGTCCCAGGAATGTTTGCAGCTTCATGCAGCACCATTTCAATGTGATTCAACTAAAGCAGTTGGCAATATGCAGGGTTCCCACGCAAATCTCCAAAAGTCTTGAGGAATCTGAAGCTAGCTATTTTCAAGGTCAAAAGAATATTTCCCACTGCTTATTCCCTCTATACACATGTGGAGGAAGGGATAGAGAATATCTGTTCATCATCCATCCATCATGCTTATCTATAAAGATTGAACTCTGCAGAAATCTCCACCACTATTTTTTTTTCTTGTTTTGCATTCACATATTTAAAAAGTGTAGAAAATGACAAATTGGAATTTGTCGGGTCACACAGAAGGTAAAACAGTAATTCATTAATCTGTGGTTTGATAGTCTAATTTATGTGATCCTCTGTATTTGGCAATAAAGAAATAGACTGATGCACAGTCTATCAGTGATGCTTGAAGGTGCTGTTTACAACCAAAATACAATAAGAATCGAAGCTAATTTAGCTTTTGGGTAAAAATAGACTTTTAGTTTTTGAGCTCATCAATATTTAATTCTTGTTTATTTAGCTGTCTGTTTGGATCCTGCCCTAATTTAAGAAGAATCTGTTTTCATTGGGGAAACGGTTGTAAATATTTGATCTCAGCAAGCATGACCCTAGATGTGCAGCCACCGCTGTGATCACGGGCCTCACACCATCATGGGTGGTCCCCGGCTGTTAATCTAATTAGGAAAGCACGTGGAGGCCTATGAACCCTTGCGCTGTTAACCAAGATAGCTTGAAAGCATGAACAAAACATGAAAAATGCTTTTCTGCTAAACAACCATTAAGTTTGCTAATCTTGGGCTGGATGAGAGTTAGGATGAAGTTCTCCAAATAAATGAATCTTAATAAACATTTTGTAAGTTTACGGCTTACGAGCTTTGTGATGTCAGCCCCCTGAAATATTGATGAAATATCTTTTCTGTTCTGCCCCTTTACAGATTTATTCAGTTTTTGCGACTTGTTCCCACTCGTTCAGATCATCCAATAGAAGTTAGAACCAGTCAAGATAATATAAATAACCAAAAATGCAATTTTCAAATGATGATTTCATTTATTAAAGGGAGAATCTTTAAAAATCAACCTGACTTATAGAAAAAAGTATTTGCCCCCTAAACCTTACATCTACTGATGCGACCCTTAGTAGCACCAAATGGCATTAACTGTCTGTGATGACTGCTAATGTTGGAATCTTGTCCCACTCTTCTTTGCAGAATTGTTTTAAACATATCAATATTGGAGGATTTTAGAGTATAAATGGTCTGTTTGAAGATGATTGCAAAGCATCTCAATTGGATTGAAGCCCAGATTTCCACTAGGCCGATGCATATCCTTCATTTTTCACAGCCATTCAGAGGTGAAGTTGCCAGTGAGCTTCAGATCATTGTTCTGTAGATAAAACCAAAATGTGAATGAGCTAAACGTGGAGGACAGATGGCCAGACATTCTCCTTCTGGACTTTCTGGTAGAGTCCTGAAGCGGAAAAGTAGTCCGAGATCATCAGTAACTGTTGGCATGATGTTTGTCTGAAATGCTGTTCACTCTTAGCGAAGTGCAATGATAGGATACATCTTCCAGGATGCCCTTTGCAGGAGCTTTCATTGGACTCATCCATGCTTTCTGGCAACATGAGACACTCCTTTGTTTTGTTTTTGGTGAGCTGAGCTTTTTACTGCTGCTCATTGTTTTTTCCATCAACTGTGATTTGACCAGGTCTCCTTATAGCTTGTTAAACTGAACTACACAACATACTTCATCAGAGTTAACTCGTAATTTAAATGTCAGGCCAAAGATTGCTTCTATGCCTTTTCCCCTCTTTAAGACAAATTGAAAATTGATAGCTTTGCCTCAAATGGCAGAGTATTGAACAAATAGTCCAACTCTGATCACTGGGTATGGCTCCTTTTCAGTGAGTTATAGTAAATTGACTGATTAAAATAGCAAAACAATAAGTTACTAGGTCTTCTGCTAGTTATATGAGTCTGGTGCAGAGGTGTGTTCCTGCCAAAGAGCACAGATGAAAACTGGTTTTCATTAAATCTTTTTAAACACTATGAATGGAATGTTTTCTTTAGGAAAAATGCATTTGAATCAATGGATTGGCCTGTCCATCTGGAATCCGTCATTGACAACATTTAAAGAATCGCATTGCAATGTTTGTTTGAAAAGCTTTCCCAGTGACGATGTTTGCCTTCCCGTTAAATCAGAAAAAGACCACAGGTAGTCAGACTTGTATAACCGGACATAGTTGGTCAGTTACTCTTCTGTTTTTCCTGTCCTTTTATTGTCTTTTTGTGTGGATTTTGGCCACAGCTGTGTTTTTCTTTGTGAACCAGACATTCATGGCTCGCCTGAGTGGTTTGTTTGGAGTCCACCGACACAAAACTGAGATTAGTGCGGAGAGAACCAAAGTGAACTGAATTATCAACACATTTCCAGTTCCTGCACGCTTTATACAGAAATTATTGCTCACACTCTGACCTTCTCTTTCAGATATGTGCGGTGTGCTTGGAGGAGTTCAAACAGAAAGATGAGCTGGGGATCTGTCCATGCAAACATGCCTTTCATCGGAAGTAAGTATAGGCTTTTGTCCGGGAGTGTACAGTCAAACTAAAGTATACATGAAGTCGAAAACAGATTTACTTTTTCTGGCCACGTGAATTTCCATATTCACGTGGCCAGAGGAGGATATCTTTGCGACCTCTGGATTGTTTGTGTATATTTTACAATCTGAATAGACAGTGATGCCTGATTGAGTCCCATCAGAATGAAGCAGGGCATCCCAAGGATATGATATGGATATGAATGTGATTTCTATCTGATAGGCTGTTGTAGCTGTCAGCTCCTTTATCGCTGCCCTGGGTCACACCAAGACATTCGAGTTTTGCTTTCAGATAAATAAAGTTAAAAGGGATTTTTCGAACAGGATTTTTACCCCCAATTCTAATTTATTTACATTATTACATCTTATGTTCTTACTATATTCCTGCCTTTCTATATTATCTTTATTAGCTTTAAATAGTTTGTTTGTTTTTCATTTCTTCCTCATTTTTTTCTTATCTTCTTATTTATTTAGTCTTCAATTTCTGGCATTAGTTCTTTATTTCTGTTTTGAAAGGTAATCCCTGGCCAGTAAGAGTTTATTGGATAATTTGAAGAACCAGCTAAATAGTTTTTGGGTTTTTTTTTTTTCTTTTTTCTAAATATGACATTTTAAATATACTTTGGCTCATTTTTCTATCCTCAGGTGCCTCATTAAGTGGCTGGAGGTGAGGAAAGTGTGCCCGCTGTGCAACATGCCCGTCCTGCAGCTCGCCCAGCAGGCTGGCACCACAGAGCCACCCATGCCCGTCCAGCAGCCCCTGCCTGGCGCCGAGAACCTGGTGTAGTGGATGCTGAGCCCCTCTCGGAAAGCAGCCAGCGCACACACACAACAAACCACATCCCAACACTCACACCTTAAACAGGTACCCTTTGGTGGGCGTGTGTGAACTGACACAAACTGGAATAACTGAGCAGAAGCTCACAAAAACTGAGAGTCTGCGGTCGTCGTCACCTCTTTTTATTTTTGCATCGGTTACAAAAAGAAAAAAAAAGGATTTCCTTTATGTCAGCACCAAGTGGCTGATAATCAGCTGTTCTTTTTTATTTTACTTTATTTACTTCATGGACAATGAATCTAGAAGAAGTTTCTTTTTGTTACTTTTTCACAACCAAAGCGCTTTTCTGGAGGGCACCAGCAAAAGACGAGGAAGAAGAAAACGCAAAAGCCAAGAACTTCACTACACTAAGATATATATATTATTATTTTTTGTTCATTTCGTTTAAAAAGCACTTTATGAGAAGGCAAAATCTTGATTGCTTAGGCCTAAGGTCATGTGTTATATTTTATTTCTTCCTCTTTTCCCTGTAAAAAGCAGGTGAAGTGGTTTTAAAACATTACAGATCTACATAAATCTCAAAGGGACACCTCTGGAACAGTTTTGTCTGCTTCAATGTGAAACGTTTGATTGTGTTACCGTCGTCCAGACATTATTCTGACTAATCCAGTTGTCTGCAAAATTTAGATTTCAAGTCAAAAATATGTGTTCCAAACCAAGATCTTTGAGCTGTTTAATAGAAGTAACTTTTCTAGTTTTTCATTGCCCTTTTTTTCTGTATTAATGTAATCAAGTTAAGATTTCACAGTTGAAAGCAGGAGACTTTTAAGTAAAGCTATGAAAGTCACTTCACAGATCCTGCAACAGAGTTTATTTTCTGGAACGCAACAGAATGAAAATGAAATCTTCCCTCAAAATGTTCTGTAGTGTCAGCTACTTCATCTCTCTTGCCACAAATGTGTAAATCTATTTATTGTCACTTATTTTCGCTCTTTTTTTATTTCTCTTGTTTTTCCTCGGTACTGCTGCATTTAGGAGCATGAGTCAGTGAACTGGCGCTAGCACCACCAGTCCTGGCCTCAGAGTGTAATCAGCATATCCTTTTAGTGGACACACATACATGCACATAAGGGAGCAGCTGGAGCTGACCCTCCTTTCTCTCAGTGACACTGCCATAGTCTGTGGTCAGCAGGTTGGAGTGAACCAGGGTTTTCATTCATGCAAACACACATTGCAGTTTATCCTTTTCTCCTGCTTTTTCTCTGCAGTCTTCTGGTGCTTTCGCCTCCCCCCTCCTTTCTATATCGGTACAACATGCTTTTGTTTCGTGCCACACGTCCTTCAGCTCTGAGCCTTGCTTTTGTGGATACGTTTTGTCTTCTGGTTAGCTGAATTTGGTGAATTAGTTGAAAGGCCTCGCTGTGAACCCCCCTCACACCCCTTCCTGGTAACATTGGTGGGCTAAAATAGCTCACTGAGGTTTGGTGATGAAGTGTTTTGTGGCTTCGGTTTGGTAATCAGCGGGATTTAGAGAACATAATGATAGTATTTTTAACTGATAGCCCTTACAGCATGTTATAATCAACCATAAGATGATGATAATGTGAAGTCAGAAGTTCGGCACCCGTCAGAGCTGATAATACTCACATTGGACACCTACTGTCCCTTCAGTACATCAAATGATACATTCTGTATCTTGTGGTCATCTATTATTAGGCCATTGCCACAGTTATCTGCTTCTCAGAAATTACTACTCAGTAACATTTCATTCCCACACACTTGCAATTTATGGTTATGACCGAATTATCTCTTTTGCACGCCTAAGTAACTTGTGACCACATAGTGATACTTTTCCCACAAATGTTACTGGGAACGCCGCTCATTCCACAGCGACAGACCGAAGATAAGTTTGAGACAGCCTGTGGTCTGACCCGTTTTAATGAAAATGAGAGCTATTTGTCTACAAAAGGAGCTTTTCATCATAAATAACACTGGACTATATCTGCATGCTTTTGCAGTAGTCTTCATGTCCCATTATCTTTTCAACAAATAAAAATCTGAAAAGTGAGTTTGCATTTGTATTCAGCCCCACCAGTCATTCATAGTCACTTTTCTCTGCAGCTGTATGTCTTTGTGAATCTATTTAAACCTCAATTTTGCTGATGAATCTGCTTTGATCTAAACCACAGGTGTCAAGCTCAAGACTTGCTGGCCAAATCCGGGAATCTGTACTCTCGATCATCACATAAATTGAACTTTAACATAACAGTTGAGTGCTTAAACATTGTTTCATCAGTCAAATCAAATCAGTTTTCATTTGAATATGAAATTAAGTCAATGTAAAAATTGTTACATTATAGGCAGTACTAATCAGCTGTAATATTTTGTTTAATGGGTAGTTTTACATTCTGCCACAGCTTTGAGTTGTCCTTTTGAGGACATTCATAATCTTGATGCGGCCCAAAAACAAAATGAGTTTGCCAGCCCTGATCTAACATTATTTCATACTACCAGAAAAAAGGGGGATGAATATAAATGCATACCACACTTTTCTAGACTCGTCTTCTACTTTGCGTCGGTCTATCTCATGAGATCCCAGTCAAACTTGTCAAAAATTTTGCTTTTGATCTTCGAAGGGCATGAATACTTTGGCAAGTTTCCATCAGTGACATCAGACATCGTTCTGAATCGCCAGATATCCCTCTCACAAGTCACTGATTGTGTCTCCAACACCGTCTTGGTCCTATTATCTTTTCGATTTTCTTTTTGCATCCTCGCCACAAAGCAATGATCTCAACAAAGTGTCTCTGGCTTTCAGTTAGAAAAGCATTGCTACTCTGACGAATGTTTCATCGCCACCGAATGTCATACTCTGGCGTTAACACAACACGGAACAATTAACACTGAAATTTACTGAGAATCTTTGCACCCATTTTAGCCTTAGTTGAACAAAGAGACGGATGTATTTTATTACATCTATGTACAAAACGACTGCGATGCCTTTCTTCTAGCTTGGTGTGTGATGTGTTTTGGCCATGAAGAGGCTGGGACTGTTAATGTTGCAGCATGAGGGAGCAGATCTTCCATTTTACCGCCATTCATACAACCTGGCTTTCTTCCATTTTAACAACTCAAGTCTTAAAGCTTTGTTTACTGATCTGCCTGTGTACCTCACGTTAGAAGGAAATGTTTACTGTGAATGCATGCTGCTTTGCAAACATTTTCTCTCACCCTTTGCTCAATGTAAGACGATATTGTTACAGGATGAATTTCCACTCGAGTCTTTCATTTCAACCCCACGGCAGCTAGCGCTTGCTGCCATTTGTCCACCTTTGTCGTTGGTTATTAGACATTCTTTTTCCCCCACACAAGCTTCCCTGTTTTCCTCCCGCCCGCCGTCCTGATAGTGCCAACCAGACATGAAATGTTAGGAATTAAAGAGAGTGTGTGTGACGACAGAGGGAGAAAAAAAAATGGGGATGAAGAGCGCAGTAAGAAATGTCTTCCCACCGCTGAAATCATCCCTGACGTCAGCGTTGCCTTAGACTGAGCAGTTATAAATAGACACCCAGTCAGGAGCACCGTTGGACATGAATAATTTACTGATAACCACAGAAGAAAAAGGGAGTTATTGATCATAACACCGTTTTATGCCAGGTAGTGTTCATTTTGACAGGAAAAAAAAAGAAGGAAACCCAATGAAACTTTCTTTGCTGCTTGAATCTCTTCATGTTTTCCATGGTTGGTTTTAGCAACCAGACCATTTAGGGTTTAAATCTCTTATCACTGCCTTGTTGAAGTGAACCTGTGTTGTTTGTATTGTGTATTTATTCCTCTGTAGCTCTTACAAACTCACAAATAACTTCCTCCTCCCTTTTGTCTAAACAAGCCGTTTTACCTTGAATTCTCCTCACTTTTCCCTGTTTTTTTTTTTAACACTGATTATGTTTGTGAAGTCTCACAGACATTGTTTGTAAAACTAAGAATTCTGCAGCAGAATATTTTTGGAGACTATATGCTGTACAGTATTTGTAAGCTCTATTTTTGTATATTGCTCTTTTGGGGAAAAACTAAAATGAGTTTTGTTTTTTTTTTCTTTTTGCTAATTTCATGTTTATTCATTTAAAGAAAATGTTGCATGTGACTGACTTGAACTGTAAATAAAATTTCCAGGTTTTGGAAAGAATTTTGTCTAGTTGTACTTTTTTTCTTGCATAATTAATCTAATGAGCTAAATCCTGATGTCAAGAGATTAGTAAAAGGATTATTGTGTTTTTATTACATATACGTTTAAAAATATACTGTTAAACGTCATCGAAGATTACTTTAATGTTGATGTAATACCGCCCCCTTGTGGTAAATTGATAGTGTCTGACTTGTAGGTTGTAAGTTTTTTTTTTATAAATGACACTGAAAAATTGGTTTTCTATTTAAAATTAGTTATGTGATTAACTGATTACATCATACTTTCATTTGTCACAAGTATTTTTATCAATAATATTAAATCTAAATTTAAATGACCCAATCCTGTCAGTGTGTGCACTCGTTTGAGCTGATTTAAAGAACAAGGTGAGGTTTTAAAAACAAATCCGTGAAGCGACGGACGCTGGCGTCACCAACATCTGCTGGATTGCTATGAAACATTTTGATTTGTACTTGTTCATAAATAATTAAATTGTGATTTGACAGCGCCCCTTTGTGGTTAAGTCAAGGACTTTGTTTCATAATTCTCTCTAAACAATCCAATTTTTTGAGATGACAGACGTCATACAGTGTCTGCCTTTGAATAAATTGAACATTGAGCGAACCGACAGTTGAAAGCAAAGTTTGTGAAATATCAGAATGTCAATTTTTTTTCCTGATGTGCAGACATCTCCACTTCATGGAGTGTTTTTACGCATGCGTGGCAAAATTTACATTTAATAATTGCTCATTAGTATTTTTAATAAGTATATATAAAGCAGAAACATTATTGGGGGAACCTGTTTGATTCCAAAACACAAGTGGTGAATCAGCCCATCACGTAATGTCTGATACTATCCTGAATCTTTTATGCAAAATGAACATTATCCTGGGAGCAAAAAGGGGGACCACTCAGCAACCAGGAAGATGGACCTCAAAAAAGTAGCTGAGTACACAGAAACCAAGTTATTAAGTTGAATGTAAAAACCTGACCTCTTCTATGTACTGAGACTCTTAGATCTGTGTTTGGAAATCAAGAATAATATCAAAACTTGATCTGAGCAATGATATTCAGCATCAGCATGTAGACAATTTTCTGAATAAATGTAATTTATTGTCAGTTCTTAAGTTAAATCTTGTTGAATCTTTTTTTGCACTTTGCTTGTGCTGTTCTGCTTCTGTGTTTTCTGCAGCAGAGCCAGAGTGTCTCGTTTCTCGATGCGCCTGAGTTGTTTCTTCTTCATCCTCTTGATCTTTGTCGTGTTCCGGATCTATCAAACAAAAACAAACGAGGAGTTTTGTACATGCCTATATTTCCCCATCCTTTTTGACTCTACATGATCAGAGAATAAATATATCAAAGATTTTCAAATGAAATGTGGCATCCATTTGTACTCCTTCACTTTAAATCCAGCTGTTCTGTCAACGCATCAGAAGTTTTCTTAAGAACATGAGCGAATAAACAGACCAAGGAACACAGCAGACACAAGGTGTGGAGAGGTTTAAAGCAGCGTTTGGTTCTAGAATAATATCCTAAGCTTTGGACATCTTGAAATCAATGACCCATAATTAATGCAGCTAAATATGTGCAACAGGAATTCTGTTAGAAACTCCAAATGATGGAAGAAAAAAGGAATCCTCCAGTAAAGCAGGGCAAATCAAACCTGAAAGGCGAGAGGTTCTTTCTGTGAGGAGAGTTATATACATACCACTTGTACAATCTCTGCTTTGCGTTCATTCTCTGCGCGCCGTTTCAGGTTTTCCTCACGTCTTTTCCTCTTTTCCTAAAAAAAAAAAAAAAAAGAAGAAGTTAAGCACAGCCTGTTAGACATAGAACTGAAAGAGCATGACTTTTTCTCCAGAACCTCTGCGTCACATCACCTCCTTCTTCTGGGCTTTCTCCTCCTTCAGCCTCATTGTGAACTGTTTGACGAGGTCCTTTTCACGCTTGGCCTGCATCTTCTTCTCCCAGGAGGAGCACAGAGGTTTGTCTCTGACCAACGAAGAGAACCTGGATGCAAACGTCAAGGTAACAGACAGGTGAGCGTTTTTTCGTTACTAACGATATGCATGTATAACTAGTCAATAGTTTTCAAAGAATAATTGCTGCATACATTGAAAAAACAATCCAGGTTGTTTTTAGGTGTTATGATAGGCTGCGTTGTTTATTTGTGAATAAATTAACAGTTTCCTCATAAAATCTACAACATCTATTATTTCATCAGTATATTTATTTAGACAGGTTAATAAATAACTTCTCTGATCAGAGATGAGCAGATTTCAGCTTGTGCTCAGCAAGTTGAAGACAGATCCCACCTCTGCTTGTTTCGGTCCTTCCACACTCTTCCTGACTTTGGTTTTCCCAGCGGAACCGCCGGGTTCGGTTTGGCACTGGAAGCCAGGTGAGCTTTCTTCTTCGGGATGCTCCCTGAACCTATAGGAGCCGTTTCTGCTGGTGCAGACTTGGGCAGCTGATTTCCTCCCTCACCATCGGCTTTATCCGCTTCCATGACTGCTGCCTGGGCGGGTGGGTCTGAGGGCACTGTGGGTTCTGCTGGCCCGGCGGGTTCTGTTATTTTTGCGGGTTCTGCCTCTGTAGACGCACTGGATTCTTCCACAGTCGGACTGTCTGGTTTCTGCTCCGTGTCTTCGGGGTTTTCTTCTTCCGCCGGCGGTGGCAGCTCCTGCAGGACGGACCTTCTGGTCCTTCTGCTGGGAGTCCTCACCGGGGCTGTGGTGTCCAGCAACGCGGCAGGAGGGCGCACCGTGCGGCCGCTGCGTGTCCGCCTGCCCTCCGCTGGCGGATCCTGGACCAGCTCCTCCACTGAGTTGTTTTCCTCCGACCGGGCCCTCGCTCTCTTCGGCATATTTCTTAATAAAGCAGACAAAAGTACATAACTTTAACCTACTCTAAGACCCACGTGCGCCTGCTCCCAGCCTTGCGTATGATGGGTTATTTCCGGTTCTGACGTAGAAGACAGTAGATCTAGCTGTGTGCGGTCGCCATCTGTTGGTGTGAGGGAGGAATCGCAAATTACAGTTAGAACTTTATATTGGAACAAAAAAAAGACCTTTTCGTCTAAGGCTGTTTTTGCAAAGACTTTTTATTTTAATGCCGTTTAGTCATGTGGCTTTTTATCCATGGCCTCACATCTGAAGCCTTACACACTGTTCTAATGTGTGAGGTTTTTCTCTCTCTTGAGTCCTGAGGATGTCCTAAAATGTACACCGTACTGAAACACTCTGCAGCGCCACCTACTACTGGCCAGAAAGCATCCCAGCTCTTTCATGGGGCCAGCCGGTCACATGATTTTCACTTCCGCGACTCTTCTTGACACCTAGGGAAGTCCCTGGCTTGATATCTGACTTTGTTGGCGTTTGCGGCGCCTGTTGAGGAGTTTTAACACAGCAACATCACATCACCAGCTGTGAGAGAGGCTCGTCATGTCGATGCTCCGATATAATAGCGTCTTTCTGCTGCTGCTGCTGATGATGTTTGGAAACTCTGTGAGTATTTCTGAGCACCTAGTTAAAGTCTTTCACCTTTCTTTTGAGTTTATGTAACAGTTTAAACTGAATTGAACAGATTTTATGGTTTATTGGCATAATAATTACATAAATCCTGGATATTTTAAGCTAAAATATATATTTATATGGGTCTAGACTACTTTCTAAAGCTTTAATTTTTTTCTGATTATAGTTTTGAACAGGTCTGCAGCATTGTTTACTAGAACTCATCAGCTGACAGTCAGCTGTTTGGCCTACAGTCACCTGAGGTGTCATCTCTGAGCTCTATACTTGAAACTCTATGGGAAGTACTGCACATATGTAAGTGTTCAATGACAGATAATGGTGTTTTGACCTGCAGAACGGGACGTCTCCATCATTCAGCGTGGACTACAAAAACAACTGTTTCCGTAAGGATGGGGGAAAATTTCGTTACATATCTGGAAGCATCCACTACAGCAGGATCCCCAGGGCCTACTGGAAAGACCGGCTGCTAAAGATGTACATGGCAGGACTGAACGCCATCCAGACGTATGATTCCCCGACACACACAAATATGGTCCTCTCTCGTATCACATTTAAAATCAGGAATTATGAGATGCATCAGTGGTCTCCCAAGAAAGTTGTAGACACTGCACAGATGAGTTATTGTCATTGCATAGTATAGGAAGCAATATCATATTCACAACTACTACTTGCTTTTAACAGATGAAAAGTTGCTTTTAGTTTGTCTTCTAATTTAAAATTATGACATTTGATTATGGATAACAAATACTTTGGTCAGTATAAGCAGGATCAGATGTCATAACATGTTTTAGATTTTTCTCTGCTGGCACACACATGAATCAAAGGAGTGTGTGTTAACCAGCTTTTCTGCTTTTAATGCCATCCTGAGGAGACAAAGCAGTCATTACAGTTTGGAGTCCTGGAGCACAGACACACCCAAAGCATGGATGCCTGAGGGCCTGAGGGCCAGGGTTGGAGATTTCTGTTTGAACACATTATTCAGTGAACCTGGAAGCAGGCTGAATTTATAATAATATAATAGAAGTTCCCCAGACCAAATGTGATAGAATTAGTTCAAAAAGAAACGTTTTTTTAATTTAATGTGGTATTTATTTATTGGGTGTAAGACATAATGTAATATATAAATCTGGTGAACTGAGTAACCCCTTGACATATAAGTTCTAAGACAGTTTTTAGTAAATATGTATTAATGATCAGAGGGAGTATTTTATTCTCTGTGTTTATTTAAAAACCAATTTTCACTTCAACAGCATATTTTAGATTCATATTAAAATGAAAACAATGTCCTTCTTTCTTTTTTTATTGAATCTCATTCTGATTTTGGGTCATTTTGCATTAACTTAGGATAAAACACAATTTATGAGTTAACTGTTGAACATTAATACTTTCTCACGATTGCAGCTACATTCCCTGGAACTACCATGAAGAGACTCCTGGCCAGTACAATTTCAGCGGAGACAGAGATGTGGAATATTTTCTGAAGTTGGCTCAGGACACCGGTTTGTTGGTGATCCTCCGTCCAGGGCCGTACATATGTGGAGAGTGGGATATGGTGAGAAAAACGTGCCCTTAATGTGTTTGCTTTCAAAAACTGAGTTGAAAAGAGACATTTAGTCTAATTTTTTTAAAGGCTTCCTTTGGGTTCAAGTAAGTGCTGTGATCTAGCTAGACATGTGCTAAAATAACATAGTTAATGTGGCACTCCACATCAGCCAGATAGCATTTGCGAGATTCACTAAAATATATCATTTCTCTTGCATTGTCCTTTGTGCAGTATGTCCTCTGACACAAAGCCTTCTCCAAGACTGTCAGAAAATAGCATTTACTCCCCAGACAGCTGTGTGTGTGTCTGCTGTGACAATATGCATAAGAAGGACTTGTTTGAGGAGCAGACCTCAAACCTGCAGTCTCATATTTTATCTGAATGTCACCATTTGAACAAAAAATCTGAAAAACTGGATCAGTGCTGGGATTTTGTGGTTAAGATTCTTTAGTTTTACTGTTTTGTGTTGGTTTACTTCCCCCTACAGTCATTTTCTGGCTTTTATGTTGTAATGTGATCAATACAGGAAAATAAGTCTTAGCAAAATTGATGTTTTAGCAAGACAGTGTATCTATAATGAACTGTGTACAATGAGTGAAATCTAAAGCTTGGCAATCTCGGCGCCTGCTGAGGGAATATTTTTCTTGTTTTGTTTCTAATTATTTATGTGATTCTGCCGATTAGGGGGGTCTGCCTGCATGGCTTCTCAAAAACAAAAACATTGTGCTGCGATCGTCTGACCCTGGTAAGCACCAAACACACATCTAGTCAGGAATGCATGCAGTATCCTACAGCATGAAAGTACAATGCTGTAATTTGTGTCTATTCCAGATTACATTGCAGCTGTGGATAAATGGATGGGGAAGCTGTTACCCATGATGAAGCCTTACCTCTATCAGAACGGCGGTCCCATCATCACTGTACAGGTGAGCCTGGATGTCTCAATTTGTTTGTCATGCTCGTACCTGACTGGTTTTCATTTTACAGCCCACTTCAAAGTTATTAGTCTGCCCTGGTAAACAAATAAATGGTAAATAAATATCAATGGAGAATTTTTAATATGTGTACTTATTGAAGTTTCTCATGGACAGTTTGGCCTCTGCTTATTGAAAGTGATAAGTGGATAATCATTGGATCTTAATCAACAATTACATAATTAAAAACCAAGAAAAAACAGAAATTAACCTTCATCAAAGGCCATCGTATAGATTGTACGGATGAGCTGAAGAGAGTCCAGGAGAGGATCTGGAAATATGGCTGATGAATGTTTTTACTTTTTGATCTAATTGACCAGGTTGCCAATACGTGTGAGGAGTTACAAATCATCCATTCAAACAAGATTTAGTCTGATAAGAGAAGAAAAATATTGACACACAACCTTTATCAACAGGTGGAGAATGAATATGGCAGCTACTTTGCCTGTGACTACAACTATATGCGTCACCTAACCAAACTGTTCAGAACTCAACTGGGAGACGAGGTGGTGCTGTTCACCACAGATGGTGCTGGGGTGAAGTACCTGAAGTGTGGCTCAATACAAGACCTCTATGCCACGGTAGACTTTGGTCCTGGTAAGCTTAACAACTCTGCATGTTACAGTGAAAATTCCTTTTCTGTGAATGACTCACTTTTCAGATAGAATTATGTGATAGAAGCTGGTTTGCGTTATTGTGTATCCTCTGAGATTCCTTAATTCAGGTTTGTTTTCGTATTTGTGTGCCTCTGTTGACTCATTGTCATGTTTGAGCTTAGTCAGAAGTTACACAAAGACACTTTGCTATTCTGTGACTCATCTCTCTGCTAGGTGCAAATATAACTGCTGCCTTTGCAGCACAGCGACATGCTGAACCTTATGGGCCTTTGGTAAGCCTCTTGTCTTACCCTCTGCATGTTGTTACAGTTACCCACGTGGCAAAGTGAAAATACTCTGGTTCCTTTGTTACACAGGTGAACTCTGAGTTTTACACTGGATGGCTGGACCACTGGGGATCCCGTCACTCTGTCGTGTCGTCCGCTGTAGTGGCCAAGTCCCTCAGCCAGATGCTGGCTGTGGAAGCAAACGTTAACCTGTAAGTGAGCAGAAGTTACCGGTGATTAGTTTAGAGAAGAAATCTGTGACTATGATGCTGCTTACGCCACCTGCTGGCAGAAGTTGTGTAACTTTTCCACTTGTGAAATTTGGCGACTGCAAGCATTGAAGTCTTAAAATTTGAGATTGTATAGAAGAAACATCCAATGATTGTTCAAATATATTAAATTTAAAAACAACCAAAAGAACTGTTGAAAGGATGGATCATTCTTATCAAAGGAGCACTGTATATTATGATACACATTTTTTTGCAGTGTCATGTGTGCAGTATTTCATTCACAAAGGACTTATAGGACACTAATATTTGATTGACTATTATATGTCAGGTTTCATGCATTCACTTTCTGTACATTGGTAAAAATTGTTGATTATTTGAGAGGACTCCAACTGACCTCATTTCCCACACCTCACATCTGTTTTTAGTTACTGAGACGCTGAAGCTCACAAACACAGTTGGGAACATTGTGCTACTGAAAGAAAAGAGGCAATAAAGGCTGTAAGCCGGGGCTTATAGTTCCAGGTTTACAGTGTAATTTTCAACTCGAGATTGGCAGGTTTACATATTTTCCTGATGAAAAATTACATATTTTCCAGTTGAAAAAGTGGAAAAGTTTCACACTTTGATAAAGACTTAAATTTGAACTAAATGGATCAAAATCAGCAGTAACCAATTGCTACAATTGGTTAGCAATTAGTTAGCACAATTGTTGCAAACAACATGCAGATTTGGTCAATAGCATATTGAGATATTCAGATGTACCACGTTACTATCAAAATGGAACACATAATGACCAAAAATTGGTCCAATTTCAACACAAACTTCCATACATGTATGTCTGTATGTTACGTGATTTATTGAAGTTGTTGCAAATGTCGAGTCGGTCATTGTTAGATAGACCTTCGATGAAGAAAGTTTATCATTACATCATTACAATGTGATCGTTTTGTTACTAATTCTAAAAAAAAAAAAAAACCTAAAGTCAATATTTTAAGTCCAATTTTTTTTTTTTTCATTCCTTCCCTGAAGGTACATGTTCATAGGCGGGTCAAACTTTGGCTACTGGAATGGTGAGTGTGATGTAAGAATAATGCAGCTTTCCTGCATCTTTCCTGCTAAAGGTGTGTTTTAATGCTCTCAGGCGCAAACTCTCCATATGCTGCACAGCCCACAAGCTATGACTATGATGCCCCTCTATCAGAGGCAGGAGATCTCACAGAGAAGTACTTTGCCATCAGAGACGTTATCAGAATGGTATAAACCTGAATATTTAAGCATTGTTTTAGATATTTTTTTGTGTGTCATTGTGAATATCTTTATCTTCCTAAAATAGTACAGGAAGGTACCAGAGGGACCGATTCCACCAACAACGCCAAAGTATGCATACGGTTCTGTTAAAATGAAAAAGGTAAGCATTCAGATGACTGTGTTTGATGTAATAACTTACAGGCTTCTGGGTTGTGACCATCTTTTCTGACTTTGCACCAAACTAGCGTTGACTTACTGGTTTTGTCTCCTGCAGCTCCAGACGGTATTAAGTGCCGTAGAAAAGCTGTCATTCTCAGGTCCAGTTAAAAGCACCTATCCTCAGACGTTCACTGATTTAAATCAGGTATCCTCCAGTCTTTTCTTGCCACAGTAGTTCCAGTTTGGTTTTCACTTTTTTTTCCCCCTATATAAGGTATCTATTTTTTTTCCTCTCCAGAATTTTGGCTTTGTTCTGTACAGAACGACTCTACCTGTTAATTGCAGCCAACCCACCCCTCTGTCATCACCTCTGAATGGGGTCCATGATAGAGCGTATGTGTCGGTGGACGGGGTGAGTCGCATTATTTATCATCAGATCCTCTCTGCAAATTGTGAATTATAGCTAATGATTAAGAACTACAGTAGATGCAGAACTCCAGTGAAGAGCACAAAATTCTTACAAAAATACAGAAACAGACAGCAGTACGTTAATTGGCCTGTTACGTTAGAGACCAGCTTTTTCAGTGCTCTGAGTACATGTAATGACAAAGTATGAGGAATTTAAATTAACAAACAACAGACTGAGTGATTCAGTCTACCACCAGTCAACAGCACTTCAGGACAGAAACAGTAAATACAAATTTCAATTTCAAAATGTACAATTTTTTTTGTGATAATTGTACTAATATAAACATTCTTTTTTTTTCTAAGGTGGCAGTAGGGGTTCTGGAAAGGAACAAGGTCTTGAGTGTGAATGTGACGGGAAAAGCTGGAAGTCAGGTGGACGTCCTGGTGGAAAACATGGGTCGAACCAATTATGGAAAAGACATCAATGACTTCAAGGTTAGTTAGTTTTTTTCGGCTTTAGAAATATGTTATTGAGGCCTCAAGGTCTGTCAGACATTAAGTTGTAGCTCACATAAAATCACAGACACTGCACCAACCTGGGATCACAATGGGCCATCCATGCTGAAACATTTAGAATGCTTTAGAAATGTTACATTTTTTTATCGTTTATTGTTTTCTCAATAAAGGGCCTGGTCTCCAATCTCTATCTGGGGAAAAAAAACCTCACCGGCTGGACCATGTACAGTCTTAGCATCGACGAGGCGGTCAGTCAGGGCCTCCTCGGAGAACAACCTCCCACACAGAGAGATCCAGATCAGCCTGCAACTCTTTCGCTTCCCGCTTTCTATAATGGAAGCTTCATCATTCCTGATGGTATTCCTGACCTCCCTCAAGACACTTATGTCAAGCTGCCAGGCTGGAAGAAGGTGAGTGACTTTAAAATAAGCATTTAGCTTTTAAGCTTTGTCACCTGCTCATGTATAGATATTCAGCATGTGAGTTTAATTAAATTGTGAAAGTAGGTCTTTCTTTTTCATTTATTTAAGCAATAAGAACATGAGCTGTCTCTACCCTTCTACAAATATTCTCAGATATTAAATGTTTTGTTATTGTTTCATTTATAACGCTAGTTAAACTTTTACACTCCAAATGTAATTTCTGCTAGGGATCTTTGACTAAAGTGCAGTACAAACTAAATATTTATTTGCTTCCTTAGGGGCAGATCTGGATTAATGGTTTTAATTTAGGGCGTTACTGGCCCGCTCGAGGCCCTCAGGTGACACTTTTTGTGCCTGCCAGCATCCTGAGCACAGCAGCACCAAACAATGTGACCATCCTGGAGCTAGAAGCAGATCCATGCAGCTCCCAGGCATGCACAATTGAGTTTACAACCACACCGATCCTCAATGTAACAGAACCCAAACTGCGCAGGAGACTGTTTGCTGAAAAGGATTTCCTGTGACAAAAAGGGAACTCTCTGTTGCACTAAAGGAATCAGTTTGCACTGCAGGACTTAAGATATGAGCCTGGAATCAATGATTGGTTTGTGAAATGGATGAGCATTTGAAATTTCTCTTGTTTTTTTTTGTTTTTTTTGCCTGATCTATGTTATGTAAATCTAATTTTTTTTGTGATACTATTTTCTAACCATGTTTGCACCACTTGATTGTAGCATGTAGCCAAAAACTCTTCTCAAAGGGATCATAAGCAATGTTAGCTGTGGCATTTCATCATTCAGGGAACATTTAATTTTTCAGATGAAAACTACATCAGGGATATATCTGTTCAGATGTGGAGTCCTATGACTAAAACCAATTGCTCTATAGCCTTAAATTAGTCAAATGTCATTTATGAAGTAGTTACAATATTTGTACAAGATGTGCCTATTTCATAAAATCAAAATAAAAACTTGAAACCCATCTTTATTTTAATACAAATTAGCTTTTATGCATATTCACATTATAGGGTAGGCAGATGTATGGCATCAAATTTAAAGACAGGATAGGTTAGTTCTGGTTTCTATATTACACTCATTCTTTATTTGGGAGTCTCACCAGTGTTAAATATGCCACATTTTCTAAACTGCACCTCTCATATTTATCATTATTTTACTTCTCTTCCCATACTTCAACAATTTGTGCTGCATGGCACCAACTGAGGCTGTTGCATGATAATCATCTAAAGGGAGCAACTCTGGGTGTCAATCCAATGGCAGGGCACATATAGTATGTAAGTAAGGAGGTTGAAGATATTGACCTAAAATCCTCCTGACCCCAGCCTAGACAATCTAACTCAACTAAAAGTCATCAATTCTAAAATTCAATCAATATTTTTATTAAAATCTGGTTTCAGATTTTATCCTTTATCCTGCAGACAAAGTGGAAGATCTTAGTGCAGAAATTAGCTCACAAAACTTTTTAAAAAGCATTTCACTGATTTTCAATAACAATGCACCTGATTTCACACTGCATTTTGAGAAAGTACATTAAAATTCTGCCCTATTTCTTGTGCCAAAATAAAATGTTTCTTGCAAAAGTCGTGTTCATAAAAGGTTTTGAACACCTGGTAATAGATTTGAAATTGCATCTATATACAACCTTGAATTCAAACAAAAGGGGTATACTTTTTTTTTTACTGAATACAGTATTTGTTTATTGACATCTTACTTTTCTATTTTGTTGGTTTCCCAGATGTTCAATACTTTTTTCACTGTAACAAATGCAACAATTTCAATAAAGTTCTAAAAGGAAAAAAAAAAAAAAAACAAGACCGACGTCACACCGGAGCAGCATCGGGGAACTGAGAGGAAGCGGTTGTCAGTATTACGCTTTTGTTACCTATGAATTTGATTATAATGCTATTTTTTATTATTATTATTTTTATTTTTATTTTTTACATTTTTACTTTAATTATAACGACGGTGCCTTCTATGTGTGGCTGTTTCGACCTAGAAACACAGCTGGGTCGCCATGTTTCTATGTTCTGTGTAGCTGCTAACTGAAACGAGTCCATTAAATTAGCTATTGAATGTCAACGTTCTTGTCGCCACAGTTGCTGGGATAAAATTGGGTTTTGTCTTTGTTTTTCAGTACCCTTCGGCCCCACTGTTCCGGTGATATTTAAACATGACCGAATAAAGTCTCCGAGGTTCGGACACCGACTGAAACACACCCAGCTTAATAAGGTGCTAACAACACACACACAGCTGTCAGGACGTTGAAGTTAGCTTTTAGTTCTTCGCTTGTACATCGTCAGTGGCTTCGATACTAAACCTGATGCAGTGTGATCGGGACATTTTGTAATCCTGAGGAAATAGTCTAGCTGAAGTTTAACAACAGAGTGTTTTGGATTTGGACATATTCCACATTCAAGATGCGGTCAGATGTTTGGTTTAAGGAGTAAAACTGATCCGCTGCTTCAGAGTAGTGCTGCTGTGGCTGAAGTTGCTGAAGGACGAAACATTTATATGCAGTCCGTTCTTTGTCAGAAATGACATCTCCCTGCCCTCCCCTGCTTGCAGGCAGTCCGAACTGTCTGTGAGACCATGGTGGATAATCGCTACGCCACTGCTCTGGTCATCGGCTCGGTCCTCAGCCTGCTGGCCACTGTCTATCTGTCCGTGGCGGTGGGGACTCAGAACTGGTTCCAGTACAGCACCCCGCCCATCAAACAGTGTATCAACACCACTCTGATCAAAAATGAGTTCCTCACTGGGGAATTTGAGGAGAAGACGTACAGCAGCCACCTGTTCAAGTGGAACGGCACCTTGGGCCTGTGGTGGAGGTGTATCCAGGTTCCTCTCTGCATGCATTGGTATTGCTGTAAGCAAGGTATTGTATCTAACCTGCACTAAAACAAGTCACAGAAACGCTAAACTGCAAAGTCTATTTTTTAATTTTGTTTGAAAGAAAAATTTAAGTTAGAAAGTGATATATTTATTTAGTTTCTAATGTTTATTTCCTCCAGTTGTTCCTCCACTGGAATCCAGTCGTTCTCCAATCGCTATGTGTGTGAACGACCAGGAATAATATGGCTACTAACACCTCTGAGCTTCTTTTGACTTTAATGTTTTACACAAATAATTAGGAAATTAAAAGAAATGCAGCTTTTTAAAAATAAATAAATAAATAAAAAAGAAGCAGTGTCCCAACAAGAGCTTACCTGCTTTGGAAGACGTTAACACGTGTCTGCTTCTACATATTAACAAAAACTGACATTGATAAGTCTTTTTATTTGATTTACTGTGGAAGATAACATTTATACTTAAACTGAACAACAAACAGATTGAAAACTTATTAGATAAAAAAGTGAAACTTTGTACTATGATCTGATGAAACCACACACACACTTTTGTTGATACAATTCACTCCTTGCTCACTAAGGAAGATCGTAGCGGCAGCATCTTGCTCTGGAGTTTTCACTTCCTTTAGAGTAGAAAACCCTGGACTATCCTTTAAAAACCTGAATGAAATGCAGTTTCTAATACTGTAGTCTATTGTGAGAAAAAAATACCCTTTTCCATCCATACTGCACCTGAGATAGGTATAAAGCTAGAAGATATTATTAGATGCAGACATTCTATTGTTACTATTTATTAGACCAGAAGAATTTGTTAAATTATTTGATAAGAGAGTACAATTGTTTAGGTTTATTTTACAATGAAGGTGCATTTCAGATAGTTAGACCAATAACTGCAGACCCACATAAGAGCTTCACCGGAGTGTGATCTGAATCCTTTGTCGTATAGTGAGTTAGAGCAGCTGTTTAAGATCTTGCAAATTTGACCCATACTTTCCCTCTCTTTCTATTTTCTAATAAATTCATGAAAAATGAACGTGATTGTTGAGAATGTGAACTTGAAGTTACTGTCTATCTCGTGCATTTAGCTTTGCATTCAATGAGGAATGTTAAGTGTCGTGGTGGTTTGATCTTATATTGGTAATAGTGGGATTTGCCTTTTGCATCGTGTTCAAAAATAAAGAAACCAAAATAATAAATCTTCAAACAAAGTTGATAAGATTATCAAGATTTTAATAAGTTTCTTAATCAACAGGTGATCTTCAGACAGACAATGAAAGTGACAACACAACACAACAGAGAAATTGCACTCATCAAAGTGGATGTACAGGTAGTTTACAATATGCCACATTTTGCAGTTTGTATATCTAATCTGACCTTCAGAGCAATCACAAATTTTGCAATTTAAAACAATTTTCCTAATTCTATGGCTCCTTCTCAACTTGCAGGTTATCTTGTGTGCTTTTTACCTTCAAATAATCCTTTGAGCTTGATCAAAAATGTAATAATTTCAGCTGAAGTTGGAGCACATGGCTCAACTTCGAACAATGGAGGGTTATAAAAAGTAGGTGGGCTTCTTTCACATGGTAGGGTAGCCATACAGACAAAAGGAGGGGCTGCCACGAGACTCTGCACCGACAAGCATAAGTGAAAAAAAATTTGGATTCCATTCCATGGACGGGTACAAAAAAAAAAAACATTAAATAATCTCTTGTCTCCTTCCTCAGTGAGAGCTTAGGAAGGACAGAACTGCATCTGAATTTTTGGAAATGGATACCTTGGGTTTGCTTTTGAAGAATTGGTGTATTATTGATCTGTAAGAAATGCCTGCGTAAGTCAGGCTTTCTGTCTCATCCTGTTCTCCAGTCCTGTGTTCCACCCTGCTTTATGTGCTGATCTCGGACGCTTGGGTAGATCTTTCCCCTCTTCCCTTCACTTTAGATCCTAAGACGGAGACCCTCTGTGTGAGCTTCACCCTTCCTCAGCAATACCTCGCAAAGGTCAAACATAATGAGAGCGAGGACGATCTGCTCAGAACCTGTGAGTGAAAATCACAAACAGGAAAATTTCAAAAAGTCATGTATATCTTTTTTTTTTTTTATCTAAATATTTTTTCACTTTTCTTCCTCTCTCGTTGTGTTGGAGTTTTAATTTTATACCCAACACTACCAAAAAAGATAAAAAAAAAACAACAAAACTTTTATTTTTGTTGCAGTTGTTCATTTGACTTCCAAACTATTTTCAGTGGTTGGTTTAATTTTACAAACCTCTGAATCCTTATCCTGTGTTTGCAGATCTGTGGAGGTGCCAGTTTCTGCTGCCCCTGGTGTCTTTGTCTCTGGTGTTTCTCAGTGGTCTGGTAGGCGTCTGTGCCTGCCTGTGCCGCAGCTTCACGCCAACCCTGGTTGTAGGATTGTTCCATTTTATTGCAGGTCAGAGAAATGCATCCTTGTGCTGTTGATCTCAGGTGTAGCCTTTTGTTAAAATGCTGTATTTCTATCTTAATGTTGAGCTGTGATAGGTCACTGTCCTTTTTGTGCAAAATGTTATATTTCTCTCTATTTTAAATTATAAAAATTGAAGGAAAAAAATGCTTCTTTGAAAATGACAACAAATTTATTGGAGTAGACATTTATCATCATAAGCTGTCTTTTTTCCAAAAACCAAAGTAGTGACTCTAAATGAGTTTTATTTGGCTGGCCTGAGAGCAGAAACTGCTCTTTTCTTATTGTAAAGGTTGCAGACTCCCGCTCTGCACCAACTGAAACTACTGGACCAACCAGACCTTTCCCTGCTGCACACAGCCTCCAGTCCAGCAGCCGTTGTAGTTTTCTCAGCTCCAACCAAAATGTGAAAACAAGTGATTTGTTTCTCTTACGGGACTTTATTATCCAGAACATTTAAAGAAGCAGAAAAACCACAAAATCCTCAAACCAGCTCTGTGTAACTTCTTTCTTTAGATTGTAATGTCGACTTTTTAAAATTTCTTGTAAATTGTCTGTCGAATGTGGTGGTGTGTGTCTTTTTGATGATTATTATTCTTTTTACTCTGAGGCTGCACAGATCCTTTTTTTTTTTTCTTTTAGTCCAAACACTTTGGAACCTCACTGAGGACATCGATACGTCAAGTTTTCTTTTTTGTTGCGCTAATTTTAAGCAGTTTGTTAAACTTTTCAAAGACCATTTCTAGTAAACGTCCAACAATGTTCCTATTATCACCACCACAAAAGCTACAAAATATATATATTTTTATTTTTTACTTTAAGCCCTGCAACAAGCCGAAGACTGATGATTGTAATCAACAGCATCTTTGTTTCTCATCCTTCTCCGCGGCTGTTGTCTCGTTGTCAGGCCTCTGCTCTTTGGGAACCGTCTGCTGTTTTTGGACCAGCGTGAATCTGCTCAACAACAAATACAACAAACCGGGAGATGTCCTTGGGTCAATGGGGTGGTCTCTCTACCTGGCCCTCATTTCCTTCCCCCTGCAGATGATGGCCGCCGCTCTGTTCCTGTGGGCGGCCAGAAGTCACCGTAAACACTACACCCGCATCACCGCATATAGGGTTGCATAAAGAGAGAGGAATAATATATTTTACAATAACCAGTAGGTCTACAACCTTCCTTCCAACAATTTGTGGTTGTAGTTCAATAAAATGTTCAGGTCGTAGCTTTTCACTTCCACTGTAGCAGTCTTGCAATGCAGAAATAGTTCAGGGTATCACAGGTTTAAACGTCAGCTGCAGCCGATCCGTACGTACTAATAAACACATTGAATTATTTCGTGTGGCTTTATAAATCACCTTTGCCTTTTTTTGTTTTTTATTCCATTACTGAGTTGTGTATCATCTTGATGTTGCAGATGTTTAGCTTCTGAAGGTAATGTGCTATTTTTATTTCTGCTTGGGTCTTTTTATTTTGCCATTTGCCGTCTTTTTGTTGCCAATGCTTTTTCAGCTGCTCACCATATTGTCCTTAAATCGGATGCAACTGTGTAAACTTGCACTATCTGACTTTTAGATGTGGACTTTTATGATCCAAATCAAGGTAGTTGTTTCTGTTACTGGAAACAGTCTGGTGCACCTTTATTTAACTTTTGTCTTGTTTTTGCATCATTTTAAATATCAACCTTTGCATGTCATTTGGATTGACCTTTCCATCATCTGTGGTATTTTCTTTTATTTTGGTCTGTGGTAAAATGACTAAATGTCATAAAATGTCACAGTCTAAAAGTGGAACCACTCACCTTGTGCTGTCATTGATATTGATGAATCTCGTGTGTATTAATGCAGCATAATTACCAATTTTATTGTGTTGGTTTTGTCACAAGCTGAATCTATTAAATGTGTTCAGGAAATTCTGTTACTACTGCCATTTAAATGTTAAAAGTTGTCTAGACAGTTGCTTTCTCAGTTGTTCAATGATGGTTTTGTTGGAGTTAGTCAAATTTTGCAGTTTATCTTCACAGTTTTCCTGACCATAAACTAAAAAAAGAACACATTCTTGATATAAGACACCTTGCAAAAGTATCTACACCCTTGAGTTTTCACATTCAGGGTCTTTACAGCCACAGAGCTCATTTTTTGGGCCAACACCTCGCAGTGCATAAATGGGAAGCTAAAAGTAAATTGTCACAATATTTTTACATAAGCACCTCAGCTTTCTGGTTGGGGTATCTCTCTTCCAGCCTTAAAAATCGACAAAGTTTTGCCAATTCTATTTTTTTTAAACACCTAGTTCTGATTAGATAAATCTAGGAAGAGCATTTTTTTTTTGTCTTTCTTCACTTGAGTTTAGTTTTGAACTTTTACTAAAGTTCATTTTCACACCTTTTTACTCTTTAATCTGCAGCCTCTAACAGGTTTTCATCCAGAAAGGCCCTTTATTTAATTCAACCCATCTTAGCTCTTGACTGGGAGTTTGTGATTGTAAACTGATAAAATGTGAAAGGTTTTAGGGTAATAATACTTCTGCAGTACAAAGTAGCAGAGTGAACAACTCCAGTTATTGTTTTATCTAATTATTTGACTGATTTGCACAGTGGCCAGATTGTCATTTCTTCAACCAATAGGATTTTTTTTAGAAAGACTAACATTGGCTCAAAATGTGTCCATTTCTATTCTTGGAGAAAGAAAATGTTTAGAAAACAGCACAATTTGGAAACTGAAAGCAATACTTCATATTTTTATATCTGTGAAGACAATTTAGGTTATTGGGACTAAAGTTCTTTGCAACTTTATGGGGAAGGGAAAAACTACAGAAAAAATTAGAAAACAGGCCTCAGTTCCCCAGCTAAATATTTTCTTGTTTTCCATTTGATGATTTATTTGTTTTGATACAGAGTGATGGACTTAAATTGGGGTCTTTCATCATGTCCTGTGTCTGTCATGAGGGCGCAGTGTTAGGACCTGGCTTTTTTTCAATTGGTCAGGTAAGATAAAAAAAAAAATAAAAAAAGACTCAAGAACATCAAATTAATCTCACTCTTGAGCACATTAGCACAGAATGCTCACGTTTTTAGGTTTTCAGAAAAAAAAATCTTTGGCAAATTTAAAGTGGGTTAAAATATCTGTATGAAACATTTTGTTGATAATTCACAATGATCACAGATGTTTTATGTTACATTTTCAAATAAGTAAGAATTTGTCATTTCACACCGGTGTCAGAAAATACATTTGTGACTTTGGTTTGAACTGACATCTTTAACTGAAGTGTTTCCTGTCGGTATGTCAAGTTACACGTATTGAAACTTCTTGAAAACGTTTTCATTTTCTGACACACAATACTGTATTGTTGCTGTGTGACATAAATTTCAGAATTGGTTATTTTATTGGAATTTTGTCTATTTGAATGCAGAGACGGTGCTTTACCTTTTGAAAATAAAAAATATCTGAATAAATTTGGATAACTGTGCATTTCTGTGCAGATGTGCTGGCTTTCTGACCAGTTAGAGCAGAATGAACCTTTAAGAGCTCTACTAAAACTTTCATTACAGTGTTGTGAAAGGTGCATCAGTGTGTATATTTTTCATTTATGTATGAAGACAATTTTCACCATGCATCTAAGATTATCTGAAATACACAAGTAATGAGTATTTTGTTTGGGCACAACTAATAATATTGAAAAGAGTGAGAAAAAAAAAGTGGGATTGACTGTTTCAGATTGTATTTTACAGACAGGGATTTTTCTGTCATTCTATAATTAATAATGATCGATAATCATTTTTTGTCATTGCAATAAATACTAGAAAATATAATGAAATGTACATTACAGTGTTAAGATAAAATCTATTTTATTTTTGCAAGGCACTTTACCTGCAAACAGGTGTTACAGATAGACTCAAAATTCCTGACTTCCTTATTTCATTCCATTGTGTTTTTTTCTTCACGTGATTGAAGCACTCATGTTACCTTTGTCTTTCCTCAATCTTTTTTCACGCTTATGTGCGGAAAGTTGTATGTTTTTCTCTGAGCTAAATGGAAAGCAATCTTCTTCTCGTAGTAGGCGCATTCATTCACGAAGAAAGGGTAGAGGTCTTCTCCCTCATATTTCAAAATATTCCCAGAAAATGTCTGGAAGATGGGATCCCCTGACCGCAGAAGCTTAAAGTCATTATCCTAAAATTTAAAAAAAAAAAAAAAAGGAAAATGAACATGCATGTTTTCACTTCAATGGTTGTCGAAAGAGCCTCTGTTTTTCATTAAGTTCAAAGGAAAATTGTTGAATTTAAAAGCCGCAGAAGTTCACCTGGAGGTCTTGGTGGATGACAGCAGTAGCTTTGCCAGCCGAGTCTCTTGGGTAGTCAACACTTTTAACAAAAGTGTATGCTTCCACTGTGCCGCCTTCGAAACTGTGCCCTGTTGGCAGAGGAAAATAAATCACGAGTAATGTGTCTAATTACTACAACGCAATTAAAAATGAGAGCAAGATTCAGGACTTTTGTCATGTAGAGATTTGCTCAACTAAAAAAGTTGAAAGAAAGCAACCTGCATTGCTTCCTACCAGAACTAAATTTCTCAAGCCACTGTAATGTGAGATCCAATGCTTCTTTCACCACGTTGAAGATATCAGCTCTGAGCACACCGTTAGGTTGTGGGCCAACTTCTATCGCTGCAGCAAAACAATGTATATGTCACAGAAATCCAGCTTAATTTTTTAAAATGAAGATAATCTTTAACATAATGAACATTTACATAGTTACCAAAGCCATGTTTGCCCACTGACTCCAGGGAATAACGTTCGGAGCTGGGAATGTCCAGCTTGATCGCTCTCACAGGCACAGAGCTCAAGTTTTTCTGAAAATTTGATATTTACAGATTAAAAACCTAACTTACATCCTGCAGTGGCTCTAAAAATGATCTATGAAACAATGATTCAATAACTAGCCTTAAAAGATAAACTTTTATGGATAACAGACAAGTAAGCCTAATTTTTTCTTCATGTATTAATTATGGTCAGGATAAAGGGTTATGGTTGATGTTAGGGTTACTATAGGCATGTGATCTGTTGTATTCTTTCCATTTATATTAGTAAGCTGTGAAGCTGTGTGTCTGAGTTCATACCTCTATGTATTTGTAAATGTGAAGAGTGATCCAGTCTAAGGAGTAGAAGATGAAGCACAGGCCCATGTTGGAAGTGGTGTTGTGTAGATCAATGAGCAGGTCAACAGCCTTTGCGCTTCCTTTGGGCCCCAGCTGAGCGTTCAGTTCCTGTGCTCGCCTCACCTCATACGGCGTTGACTCAGTTATGGGGGAACTTGCAGTCGAGAAGCGATTTAAGCAGTCGACACGACACAGAAGTTTCAAATTTGCTGCCCACAGGAGTTATGCGCATAGCTGGCTTACCTCAGCAAGACATCTGTGAAGCAGCGGTTCAGATCCATCTCCGTGTATCGTTTGCCAGCAGCCACGGCTCTTGGATTGGTCTCAACAGTGGTGATAGAAACAGATCCCGCTTTCTCCATCTTCTGTTTCTGCATTTCCCTCACAATGTACACCCCGGTCAACTCATTCCCGTGGGTTCCACCGCAAATGGTGACATTGTATATTGGGGGGACAGAGGTTTGCTCCATCTGTTGGGCCCAATACAATGATAGTGATGTTAGTTAGGTGTTGGCAGGTCTGGAGTCCTTCCATAAACAGGGCTGGGAAGAACTAAAGTTTAGCTGGATGTCAGTGAGCTAATGATTTGACTAAATAAGTGACACAAAAACCTTGAAGGAAACTCAGCAAACATGATCAGCAAGTTTCCAAAAAGAAAAGGCTGTTCATTAACAAATGGGGCCCAGTATGTTCAACAGTTGATTTTCAGTGCAACTTTTAATAGACAATGCCATTTATCCTTTCCTTCCATGTTGGTGTTGCTGTAATGAGTTACATTGAACATTGTGGAAGTTTAGGAATTGGAAGTGGTGCGAATCCACTTGCAAGGCTCTGTAGTGTAGTTCAGTCCTAAAGCATAGCTGAGGACATTTATCTGTCAGCATTCCCAGCAGTTACTTCAAAGTGATTTGAAGCAACCATCTCAGCCTTGCTTTTTTCTGCAACTTGGCTGAGCAAAAACTCGTCAGCGTTTTTCTTTTGCCTTCTCCTTTTTTAAAGTTTCTTAAACTCCCATTTTTAGGGGAATTTTTAAGTTGTTAGGTTTAAGTTTGAGAGTTTGGCTCACAGTTTGAGAGTCATTAATAAAAGCTGCAGGGGTGCAGGAAGACTTCTGAGAAGGGGTTGGGTGTAAGTGACTAATACAGCTATTAAACTTTTAGAGCGCTTATATACTTTTTAAAAATCTTGCTTTTCCACTTTCCCACCTTTTGATGAAGTATTGAAGGGATAGCTGTGTCATTGCCAGGACGCCCAGGTGTATATTTTTATCTATTGGCGTCTGGGCCGTCTCCTCTGAATGAGCACAAGTCCATAGCAGAATGCTTCTGTCATCTAATGAAGCCTTCCACCGAAGCAAAGTGTTGTTTTTCCTGTCTCAAAATGGCTAACAGTAAACACAAACAGCATAAATATTTAGATTGCATGGCTTACCTGAGAGTTTTCAGCCCTGTTAACCATTCACTGAACTACAGCAACCTTTGAACTTTTGAAGGCGACGGCACAAGCAGAGCTGAAAATGAAAGACACACCGCCTGACATGACTGCCTCTAAGCGCTCACATGCTCTGCCAGTTGTACACAAGCAACACCACTTCTTGAGTTGCGTCTTCCTCATTCCCTTGGCCCTCCTCTTTATTTTCAAACGGCTCCAATTTCATACAGCAGAACATTTTGTGATGTAACGAAAACTCGCCCTCTTTATTTTTTTCCCACCAGACCAGCAGGAGTCGCTCTCAGTGTGGTTTAACTGTGAGATAGTGCAGCAACAAAAGTGAAGCAGCAGATTTGTAGTAGTTTGGGATATTTTTTTCCCCCACTGCTCTTACATCAACCACCATCACTGGTTGCAATACCTGTCAAGAAGCTTAACTGTGTCCTTAGTTATCTTTCAAACTCCATTGAGCAACATTTGCACAAAACCAGGAGTCCAACAATCGTCTATAATTTAAAATGCACTGAAGCATTAATATGCTTCAAGACCACAATCAGAATTTCAATATTTTACACCTTCTTACATCTACATGCTACTTCAGATTAATTCAATTATTATTTAATTAATTACCTCACAACTCTCAGGTGCTTCTGTTCATTACAACCTCTTCTGTCTGCCACTTCTCCCTGGAGAAACAAGTCCATCTCTTTTTATAGGCATGTAATCCCACTGGGGACATCCCTGGAGGGTAAGCTGCTTTCTCTCTCTTTCTTTCTCTTCCTCGCTCACTGACTTCAGCAGAATCTGTTCAGATTCAAATGAAAACAACAAAAAAACAATTTTTCCAACCAAATTGTGTGAACAACAAAAATTGAGTGAAACAATGAGATAAAGCAGAAGAAGATATTGTTTTTTCTACATATGATCTTCAATTAAGCTTTGATTTTTTTGGTAGAATTTACACTTTCTTACAATATCTGCTTATCCTTCTTGAATGTTTTCACATTTTATAGTGCAGTACAGCCACACCCATTAATGACCAAAGCATAATAAATAGTGACTTACAAGTATACTCACGTAATTTTTTTAATATTGTTTCAAATCTCAAACACATTACTTTTCATTCATGTGATAGACACAGCACAATGTAGTACAAGCCTGTAAAGTCAAAGGAGAATTGAAGTCAGCAGGTAGCAATTTGAGAACTGTGATGAGCATTTGTAATCAGCCTTTGTTACTTTGGCGCCCTTAAATAAAATCCAGTGCAACCAATGGCCTTGAAAAGTCACAGCCTTCATGCAGATTTAAATTTTGGTAAAATCCATCTCTTTTATGAGAAGAAAAATGAAAAATGTTTTGAAGAAGTTCTGAAACAACATGCCGAGCTTTAAGCATCTCACTACTGATTTCATCATCCAAAGAAAGGTGTTGTACATGTGAAGTCTGTCAGATTCAAAGTATCTTTAAGCAGATATGAAACAGATTTTTCACCAGACCCACATTTCTGCATGAAGAATGTTTTTTACTGGCCTGATGAAAAATATCATTCAGAAATAAAAGCTTTAAAACTTCAGCCTGTGTGTCACTTATCTACATAATGTGTTTTACTTGTGAGCTGGGTTACAGGAACGCATTAAAATTCTAACTTATTGAATGTGACTGGCGCTTTAAGAGTTAATTTCACACACACAAATCAAACCCGGAGCAGAACAGCCCACCCTGTGCCACGCCGTTATCCTCTTTTGATTAAATTGTACCTGAATTATTCACATATAAGCCCAGGAGAATCATTTTGGGTGAGGCTAATGATCCGATCATCTGTTACTTAGTAGATAGTGACCTTTTTAATATGGAGGACAGGGCGTGTTTGGAAGTGACATTTGAGACAGGGAGTGGTCTAAGCACAGCGGCCTCTGCGTAATGAGACCGTGCTGGGAGGAAAACGCACTCTCTGACCTTCTTGTGGTCTTTTCACAGTGGGCACAGCTTGCGTGATTTATGTTCCTGGCAGTAAATAAGTGACAGATAAAAGGTGGTTTCAGCTTTTAGAAAACGAAAAGACTGTGGAATCCGGATCTGACAGGAGGTGAACCAACAATGGAGGTTCATTAAAACAAACTCAGCGGGTAAAATCTTCACTAATTGGCCGTTTGAAACATGAGAAAAACAACAGAATGATCTGTGTGATAGACATTAAATAGCATTGTAAAGTGCCCAACAAAAGATAAAATGACTTAAATATGATTAAATTAAAAATATTTCACATAAAACAGCTACTGTTATCTCTTGTGGGGTGTTGCTTAATTGGTTAATTTGAATGACATTGAGATGCTTTCCAGTGAAAGAACATGTGAGGTAACATCAGGTTTGATGTAAAATCCCCAACATCTGCAGACTGTGCAGGTGATTAAGACACCTTGTGGGACTCTGCAGGCTGCACGACAAAGACGCAACACCAAACGAGTTCATATTCGTTTTGTCATCTCTCTGATGCTTTTCAGTTTCTCTGTCTGGATTATGATGTTCTTTATTATAGTTTTCGTATCTTTGCTCCCTGTGTGCTTTTGTGGTGGTTTATCTTTTCACTGTGCTAATCTGGCTTTGTGTTTGTTTACACGATCTCTTTTCAGGTGATTCTATCTGTTTCCGATGTTTCTGCTTCCAATGTTCACTAATATTCGATAATAAACCTCTGAAGCCTTCACAGAGGAGTTGGTGTTATTGATATCATAACTCCATCTATCATATTATAACAGATGGACTTATTTACTAGGGACTCCTGTAGTAACTAGTTGCACTGAATTTTATGATTGTAAATTTGTTTGTCATTTGAAGTAATTGTGCACTAATTTGTGATTTTTCCTTTTTTTTTTTTTTTTTTTACAGCAACAACAGTAAATGTCACCTTAAGTTGAGAAAAAGGCACAAGAGTTCACATTGTGCAAGGTAATCCTCACTCATGTGATTGAACCTTGAACTTAATCTTCTGTTTATACAACCCCCCTGTAAGGATTTTAGACACAGAGAGATGAGGAGAGCTCTCCACCTGAATTGCATGAATTGTTCATATTGTGTTCCGTCAGCCTGACCTTCTAATTCTCTTTACGTACTTTCATTCTAAGCAACTACTTAAAAGTATCTGCATGTTTACTTTGTTGGTGTAAAGATGAAACTTTGATATTCTTTCAGTCTACATTTATTTTCCACTTAAAATACTCAATAATCTACAAATTTCATAAGTTTTGTGTCAGATAATTAAATTAGAGTTTTAATTAATCTGCGGTTTTAATCAAAACAAACAGATTATCAGCACTGTAACACACTTTATCTGTTTTTATGAGAAAATGTGAGTCCCAACCAGAAGTCCCATTGTGCATGGCGTATGTATAAATTAGGTTTCAGTTCACAACACTGCAGCCCTTGATCTGATCATTTGTTGCACATCTTCAAAATTTTCTCTTTGCCATCCCTCCTGTCCAACTACTGAATAAAAGCCACAAAAACTTCTTTCAAAAATAATTTATCTTTTACACGAAACATTCCAAGACAGAATAAGCCAAGGATTTTCATCATGTGGTCCAAGGCCCACTTTACAGTGAGATTATGATTATATAACCAGCATTCATAAAACCCCACATATCTGAGCTTTGCCAAAGGATTAACAGTATCACATCCAGAGCAACCCCCAACACCTCAGCTGCCTTTAGGAATGAAAGCTTGCGTGTTTATTTTTCAAAAGAGAAACCAATATTCTCCATTCAGCTTTTAAGGGATACTCCGTGATCATATTTGCATTTCATCTTGATCTTTTTTGCACTATCAGTGAGTCACCTCTGAGACATGAGCAGTTTGTGTTTGGACCATAAAAACATAATGACTGGAGGATTTATTCTCAGATCTGTGTGAGGGGGCTGAAAGGAGTCATTTATGATGCGTGTCCCTCAGGTCCCACCTCAGCCCCTCTTGACTCCCAACGCGTCGGGGACGCCCACTCCACTTCTGCCGCGCTGCGCTCGGAGCATCAGCATCGCTCTCTCCTTCCCATCAGAGTCATTTCGGAGCGGGAGAACCCTCTGAAGACCCTCGGGGGAATGGCCCCGGAACGGGATGGCTCCAACACCAGCACCACGGCCTCCAGCAGAGTCTTGGCCAACCAGTTCGCGCAGCCCGCGTGGCGCATCGCGCTCTGGTCCGTGGCATACGTCACAGTGCTGGCCGTGGCCGTCTTCGGCAATTTGATAGTGATTTGGATCATTCTTGCGCACAAGCGGATGAGGACCGTCACCAACTATTTCGTACTGAACTTGGCTTTCTCTGACTTCTCCATGGCTGCCTTCAACACCCTCATCAACTTCATCTACGCGGCCCACGGTGACTGGTACTTTGGAGACGTCTACTGCAGGTTTCACAACTTCTTCCCGGTCACGGCTGTGTTTGCCAGCATCTACTCCATGGCCGCGATTGCCTTGGACAGGTAAGGACAACACAAAACAATTCACAATTCACCGTAGTTGATTGGGCAGTGCATGTGATAACTCTGATCCCATGGAAAAAAACTGAATAAAAGCACTTGGTTTCAGTTCGTTTCATTGTAAGTCACATCAATGTATTAACGTCTTGACAGCAATAAATCACAATCTGTCTGTTCTTCCCACAGCTTAGAGAAAAGATGTACATTTTGTCATTCCTGTGTTTTATGTACCATTATTCTTATGAATTAAACCAAGAAACCAACAATTTTATACATCGAGAAAAGTTATTTTAATTCCGATTTCTTTGAAAGTGGCTCAAACTCAGTCAGGTTGGACCATAAGTTTTCATGATGTTTAGTTTGTGTGTTATTGGGGAATCACTGTGTTGTTTGTGTACTTTAGTAATAGGTGATGGTAATGTTCCAGGTCATTTTGACCTGAAAAGGATATTTTTGTACTATCCTATTATTTCCTGTAAATAACATTGGCAAATATTGGTCATCATCCATAGCAGGAATATTACTGTCAGAAATTAATATTGGCCCAAATGTTTCAATATTTCCAGGTCCTTGTTTTCAATGGAGATGATTATTTTCTATTATTTCTACCCTTCCAGTTTTAATCATTAGCCTGTAACCTAATCGTAATTTACCGGCAGTCCTTTGCCTAGTTTTAATAGTCTCAGGATTCTTGTCGGATATTTTCTTTGCTTGATTAATGCCAATAATTTTAGAGATCTGAAATCAGATAACATCTTTTCTACAAACACGTGATACGTCTCTAAGATGTAAAGAAATCAACAACGAATCACTGCATCTTTTCAAGGTAAATATCTGAAACATAATTGCCCATGTGAAAGAAGTTCAAAGATAAACTCTTACCTGTAGCTAAATTCAGGTGGCGACTTTATTTTGGACAGTCAGTGGAGGACAACCTATGTTCAGGTTTTAGGAAGTCCACTCTTAGAAATGTGCTCACATTTGACCTCAGTTCCCTTGTGATGTCCAACAAACAGATACATGGCCATCATTCATCCTCTGAAGCCTCGTCTGTCTGCTAAAGTCACACTGGGAGTTATCTTCTGCATTTGGACCCTCGCTGTGGCTCTTGCCTTCCCTCTCTGCTACTTCTCCACCACCAGAACTCTACCGGGGAGAACCTTCTGTTATGTGGCCTGGCCCCGCATGGTGGACGACCCCTTCATGTGAGGCTACGCTGACGGCAATCCTCCCTTTTAACATTTTGTCGGTCACATGCTCTGGGGCATCTTGGTAATGTATGTCTTCATTTGTCCAGGTATCACATCATAGTTACTGTCCTGGTTTATGTGCTGCCGTTAGCTGTGATGGGCATTACTTACACCATAATTGGAGTGTCGCTGTGGGGAAGTGAGATCCCAGGAGACTCATCTGAAAACTACCACGCACAACTCCGGGCTAAAAGGAAGGTAATTTAAATATCTATCAACATGAATTTTGATAACCCTATGTGTGTTTGTTTTTTCTTTTGGTTTGTCTTGTATTGTAAACACTGAAACCATATGGAAATCAAATATTTGATCAGAAATCAATCAATGAGGATAGAAAAACATCTAATTATGACTTATGCCTGTAGTTATGCACCTTTACATTTATGTTTTTAACTGTTTTTGTTGATTTATAACCTTAGCTAACAAATGATCAATCAAGGTGATGACCCAGTTGAAAATAAAATACCAATATTTGATGCTCTAAAAAGACATTGAAATCTCTGCTGATCTCCAAATGATCTTTGGAGAGGTCTTCTTGGACACAACAAGAAAACAACGGGCTTTGTATGACGTGATAAGGACTAGTTTTAAATATGCATAAAACTTGTGCAATGTCTTGCACATTTAGTTTGGCTGCGGTGTTCAAGATCTCAACAAGAACAGTGATCTTCTTATCAATAAACATAATCCCATGAACAGCCCCCTTTGACACAGGGATCACTATACACAGGGCTTTCTGTAAAATAGCTCTCCCACCTGAGGTTATGCGCACATGTTTGAAAACTGGACGTAGTGCCTGGATGTTGGCAGTTTTGAAATGTAAAACTGATTTCTCACACTGTGAAAAAAACAAAAAAAAAACCCCACTGCTGATGAACAAATGTACCAAATGTTGTGTAATTCTGAAGGCTGCACTGCAAGACAAATGATTAAATGCCGTTCATCATCATCTGCCACTGAATAGTGTGGAAGCTTCTCCGTGGGATGCGAAGGGATTAGGGATGCCACAGCTGGGAATGGGAATCTATAGAGACAGCTCAGGGATTATTCCCAACAGTGAATTTCATTAATGAACTTAAAAAATACATCAAGAGTATAATCTGGCTCTCATTCAACAGATGTTATGAGGCGCATCCTAAAAATAGAAAGGATGAAAACAATTTATTTTTTTATGTTCCATCTATTTTTTTTAAGTTGTTGTTAATTTATTAAGAAACTAAGTAACCTTAAAAGTAAAATGCAGATTGAGCATAATAAAGAGGGAGGTGGATGTTATAGTACCTTTTGAAATATATACAGTCAGAGGCTCGAGTGTTTGGTTGGTCTTGGCATCATTGCAGACCTTTCTCTGTTCTCTCATGGCAACCTTTCTCTAACTGACAATGGAAAAGTTTAATGAAAACTTAGCGATCGGTCAACACTGTAAAAAACTTAACATAGTTTAATGTTTGTATTTCTCCACCAACTTCTGCACAGTTTTATAAAACCTGATGTGAACTCCATGGTGCATCACAGTCGAGTCGTTCACTGGAACATTAATACTGAATCAAATCCAGAGTGATTTAAATAGATTTTTTTTTTCCAAATTATTGTGTCAAAAAAGGGATTTGTGGAGCGTTTTGTTGTTTAACATCGGATAAGGGTTAGATAATCACTGCCAATCGCTGATAGATTTTTTTCCATTTAAGTCATTGCAATTTAACACAGAAAAGTGATTGGAAAACACTAAACTTTTGAGTTTTTATAAAATTCAAATAAAAGGACCAGTGCATGCCCCTGCAGGTGATGGCTTGATGGAAACATCAGCAACCTCAAAATATCAAAATTCAAAATTGGCAAACTATTGATCAACAAGCAGCTTTAAACCGTTTTAAACTTTGTTCTGAATACCCCTATTACAATTTTTAGAACTATTGTGGCAATTTGTTCACTTTTCATTTGCAGCTAAGTAACAAGTCTTTTTTTTTCTGCGATTAAATTTTTCTCCTTTTTTAGGTTTTTTCAAAACCACTTTTTTAAATGCCTATATCCGCCCATCGTATTGATATGTATTTGAAGCCATCGAGTGTTTTAAAAGTTATTTCTGTGGATTTATCTGGGTAAAATCTAGCTAGTTGAATCTAATCAGTTTCAATAATTACTTGCAACTTTGGTCTTCAGGATATTTCGCTGGAGTCTTTAAGTCCTTCATGATTTCAGCATGGCAACAATGAGCCGACGTCTCAAAAATACGTACTGCAGTGATGTACAACAGAGTCAGACTGAGAGCAAGCACTAGAACTAGAGTCAGAAAAAGAACCTGAGTTTATTTGGATGCTCATATCTGTGAATTTCTAATCCTCATCACCTTCAAAACCCTCCATAATCTGGTTCCCTCACACCTCCATCTTCCTGCTCCATCTTTCAAGCATTTTTCTTTTCTTTTTCCTTTTTCTCTTAAGGAATCAGCTAGTTGCTGGTTGGGAACTACAAGTGGAAATCAGTACTTACAGCAATAATTTGATACAGTGCATCTCTCCTCTAGCGGTTAATGTATTCTGTAAAATAAATCATTAATCTTACCCACTTAACCCATCTGTGATTGTTCTGATTGCTTGTGGTTATTATTGTTGTTGTCTATTACTGCACAGTGTCTTTGAGTGTCTTGAAAAATGCTTCATAAATAAAATTTATTATTATTCATTTGATTGTCCTAAAGAATTCCTTCTATAATGTTTTGCCTTTTTCTTCTTTATTGAGGTGGTGAAAATGATGATCATTGTGGTGGTGACGTTTGCCCTCTGCTGGTTGCCATATCATGTCTACTTCATTGTGACCGGTCTGAATAAGCATCTGATGAAGTGGAAGTACATCCAGCAGATTTACCTGTCAGTGCTTTGGCTGGCCATGAGCTCCACCATGTATAATCCCATCATCTACTGCTGCCTCAACAGCAGGTTCGTATATTTAAAAAAAAAAAAAATCTCTCAATGGTACATCGAGCCGTCGTACAAGCACATTGAGCCATTGTTGGTTTTTATTGCAGATTCAGGGCTGGCTTCAAGCAGGTCTTCCGCTGCTGCCCCTTCATCCGGATGTCAAGCTACGATGAGCTGGAGCTCCAAAGCACCCGACTTCGGCCATGTCACCAGAGCAGCATGTGTACCCTGACTCGAGTCGACACCAGCATCCTGAGCAAAAGCAAGAGTATTTGTTCCCGAGGAAACAGGTCAAAGGCAAACTCTGAGCAGAATAATAAAGACAGCTAGACTTCATGGGACTCTGTCATTTCCTGCTCAGAATATTATGTTTACAGTATTTTATTTATACAAATGTTTGGCATTTGACAACTCGTGTTATCTTTTGAAACTTCTTGCATATCTTTCCAGACAATTAAGGCTAGATTACAAGTAGCTTAAGGCTGGAAACGAGTTACTAGGATTTTGTTGCCCTGACAGGGAGGAAATCTCAAAGCAAAGTCTTTAGCAGAAACAAAGGTTTGGCCCCCAAATATTAAATATGGAGAAGTAGTTGCTCCACCTCTTCCATTGTCCAGATGCCTTTGCTATGAGACACACTTCCTCTGAAAACAGTAAAGTTGCCCTGTTGGTGCTTTGGCTTGGCACCGATAATAGATCTGGGGGTTGACAATAGACCATCTGAGATAGCAACTTCCTAAAAGAAAGACATTAACGCTCATGTTGACAGCATGTGGGACTATATTACAATAGGTTTGTGCAACCAGTATAAAATAAAACTCACAAAAAGAATGGAAGTTTTCAGGACAAAGACAGAAATGATAGACAGATCATCTTAGCCACAGCCCAAAACGTCTGGCATCTGTTTAAAAATCTATTTTTGATTTAAAATTAAGCACTTAAAAGGTTTTCTTCAAATTTTCCCAAATTAAAATTTTGCACTCCGCATAAATACTTCAACACTCTAGTTGAAGGGAAACTTACAACAACCTAAGCATTAATGACTCTAGTTTTAAAGCTGGAAGGTGGATGAAGATGATGGAGGAAGTGAACAAAACAGACAAACTATGAACTTTATAGACAGGGTATCCTGTTCAGCTACACTTAAAGTTCTATTCATTCGTTGTTTAATTCGTCTGTAAACCACCAATTCACAACTAATCTCATCTGGAGATGCACTATGAGACAAACTGGCCTTTTCCCCCAGGAACTGTTCTTATTTCCCCTGAGAAAAAAACCTCATTGGCTTAATGAGAATTATTTTGAAATCTGGCAGGAGTATGAATGATTTTAGTTATAACTGTATTATGTCGTTACATGCAGGAGTACATTTTTCAACATACCAGGAGTTACCTTTACATAAATTAAAGAAACATTTTTGAATGATACGTAGCATATTTTCACAGATTTTCATTTAGTTCAGATAAATATATATATATTTTGTACCTGCGGTCTATTTTTTGTTGCTTGATGTCCAGTTTAATAGTTTTTATTCTTCTCATTAAAATGTGTTGTAGAAATAATGATTTTTTTTTTTGCTGCAAAACACTTCAAAATTCCCATTTCCACGTCACTGAAAGGGAAATGTTAGTGCACTGGCGTTTCATTAAGATGTATAATATTTTGTATATACATGCTTTTTTGTGATGCATTTAAAGAGAATAGTTGCTACATGTCGAGTAAAGCCTGTTAATGATTTGTAGAATGATTTCATTTCTGTTTGAGGTATATCTCTTTTTGTGTTAAACGCCAGTGGTTGTTGTTAATCCCTCAGAAAGAGTTTTGTTAATACAATTTAAACTGTTCCAGTGTTAGATCTCAGTTTCTTTGCACCACAACACACAGCTAAAATATTCTTGAGATGGTTTCATAGAGATGACTCTGATCTCTGAACTTTGGTATGTGGTGGATGCAGCTGAGCATCAAGGATGTGCAGCCATCATGGTGAAGTAGCTATTATCAGTCAATGAAGTATGTTTGTATAGTACATTTCAGAAACAAAATGTTTATATAAACAACATGCATGTCATTATGTTGAATTTATGGCACAAAGTTAAAGCGGTTCCAATGGAAACAATATTTAATTTTTCACTTGTGTTGAAGGAGACCTTAACCGTCCGTCCATCTATCATTGACGCCACCGTACCTCAACCATTACTCTGTAATTTTGTGAACCAGAAAAGTATTATATTAGGTGAAAACATTTCAGATTTACTAGTCTTTGGAAAATTAAACAAAAAAAAAGGAACACTTTAGTCTGTGGAATACTTATTTTAGTTTCCAAACAAATGAGAACAGTTTTAGCTCATTGATTACTTTATTACATTTGAACATCATACACTCTTAGCAGAAATAAAAACAGAAAGATAGATCAAGACATATTAAAATTTTACAACATGGGATGGGTCAGGTCATCGGATTGTGATCACTGTTGTAACATATTCATGCTGGGGATGTTTACAGATTTATGGTGACTTTTCCTTTTTGTTCATGGCATGCAGTAGAAGGAAAGAGCATATTTCACTCAGCTAGCATATTTCTGACTGAGTGATTATTTGTTCTAAAGATACATCAAAAACAAAGTTACAAACAGAAGCACAGAAAGAAATGACAGAGTGGAGATCTCAGCTGCAGACCTGTGGAGAACAGCAAAGAGTGAGATGAAAGATTTATTATTTCAATTTTTTTTGCTGTTTTAATAGTGACAAATTCTCATGGGTTCACAGACTCAACTGTTTTCTTACTTCTTGAAGGATTTGAGATAGGTTTGCATCTATACTCAAAACTGGATTTTTTACTAAGATTAAAAAGACACATTAAGTTTTTGACTTTTGAAAATCATGGTTTGCAGTGGTTTTTATTCAATTGTACCAGAATAACAGGAGCTGATCACAAATGCTCATCAGACTACTCAGATTATTACTTTTAAACTTTTATTCTTTGTTCACTCTACAACTATGGGATAGCTTGTGTTGCTCTGTCACATTAAATTCTGGTAAAACACACTGATGCTGGTGTTTGAAATTTAAAAAATTTGACAAAGTTAAAGGAAAAACATTTTAAGTTTCTGTTTATCATGCAGGAGTCTGGCCATTCTTACTTTATACATTGACCAACTGCACTATAAATATGATTATTGCATGTAAATAGTGGATTGATTCTGAATGCAGTTGAGAACAGATTAATGAATAGTGCAATGCCAAAATAAAAAAAGTTCATGAAAAAGTAAATGCAGTTTATTATCATTTTTTCATACAAAACAAATAACTGATTAGAAGGTATAAAATTTCTTTTATTTGGGGCAATGATTTATTATAACTTAAGTATAGATGAGAGTTCGTTTTTTTTAAATAAAAATGACTTGAGATAGGTTTGCATCTATGTTTTCTGATGAAAAGAGTTCATTGAGGAATCAGAGGTTTTCATATAGTTTTGATGTGAATAAATGTTGAACTTTGATGAAAACTCAACGTGTCTCACCTTGAAAAGATGATACAGTTGTGGTTGCTTTCCAGACTAGATTGGCTCAGAACAACTTCTGTGTACTCTTCATCGTCTGCAGACTTTTTATTTATACTCTTCACAGTGAAGACTTCAGCTGGAGATAGGAGTGTTTCACCAAGATTTCTCAGACAAAGTTGGTCATCCAGGTTGACATAGAAGCAAGTTTTTATTTTAAAAATAGTTATGTCGTACAAATCTGTAAAGCTTAAATCTGAGTCGACTGCTGTGAAACTTGCTAATCTCACTTTGGAGTTTATTTCTGGTACTTTTTCTCCAGCTTTCAGGGTGGCATATACCTCTCTGCACTCCTTTGGCTTCAGCAACATCATGGAATCCATCAGCAGGAAATGAAGAGCCTTGAAATGGAAGTCCTTTTCATACGTGGTAACATTCACCATCATTGTCTCCACTGCATTGTTCAGCTCCTCTAAAAACTCTGCATCTCCGAAGTGATAGACAGAGAGGGCAGAAGTGTGGTCTTCAGTACCACCAGGGATCTGTGAGGTACAGTTACTCCTTGCTCTCCACTCTTCCCATGTTCTCCAGGCTTTCTGCAATTTCTCACTTTTGCCAAGCTCTTCTTTTAATAGATCAGGAGTAAACTTCTCCATGGCTTCTTTACGACATCCATCATACCGGTCGTCAATAACAGGTGAGGTAGAATCCAACAGTTTGACATCACCCAGGGAAACCTTTAAAATCAATAATCACAGGATGAAAGACTTTTACTGATGTGATTGCTTTTAATGTTTTCTGAAATAGTCAAAAATACTTACTTGGCTGTAGAAAAATGAGAATAACAGTGTGTCCAAAAGCAACGTTCCCCTGCCCAACATGTTAGAGCCCTACTCTTCAAACTGCTGTTACAGAAAGAAAACTCTCTTCACTCGGTCCAGACTGTACACACGACCAGGCTCAGATTTTCTAAAACAAATCAGTTCACTTTTTCTAGAATGCAGAGCTCCCTTTTCTCTTTAATCTAAAAGAAACAGCACTGCAAGAGTCACCAAAAGAGGAAGCTGCCAGGGTGCGGCTTTTACTCTCAAAGTTTTTTTAATAAATTGCAGGCTGCATCTTAAGGAAGTGATGCACACTCACTAAGTAAGTATGTACTGTCAAAGATGCACGCCGTTCACTCACTTTGGCGTGATTGAACTTGTCGCAATTCATGAAATCAAAACATAAAGATGGTTATCCTCTCTCCATTAGCAGCAACTTCATGAGCAAAAACAAGAGCATTCAGGTAAATGGGTTGATATTCAGTGAATACTCAGCACACCTTCACAATTCACGTTAGACTGTGTGACATTTATATCAGAGTCTGAAGCAATAATTAAATAAATAAATTATCTCAGTGAATCTTTTATTCATTTTTGAGCAAATTTCACACATTCAGTGTGGTTTGCTTGACAGAGGAGGAAACAGAACAAGAATACAAGAAGATTTCCATTATATCAGAGGCTTCATGTCAGCTGTCACTGTAAACAGTGACCAAAAATACTCCTGGTTCGGATGTTTTACGGCTTCATTTTCCTTCAGAACTCAAGACAACAGCCATGTGAAAAGCTTCATTTTAAGCTGACACAAGAGAAAAAATACATTCCTTCAGTGAACCCAAGAAAATAGGTTCAGTGACCTTAAGTTCATGCCTGGAATGGTTAATTCCTCTTTCCTGTAACAAGTTGCTTCTTCTTTTACGTCGACGTCTCATTTCCAGTCAGATTCCACTGGAATAAGCACAGTGTGTATTGGTGTAGTAACCTCAACTAAAAATAACTATTTTGTTTTGTCAGAAGAATAACCCCCTGCCATATGAGAAAGGTCATCCATCAGTCTTTTTTCTTTATTTTTCATCTAGGAAGCCTTGGTGAAGTTAAATATTTTCTGATTTTCCTCTAAGGGCATACACGGCATAAAAACGGCAGAGAAATATATATGTATATGTCTTTGCTAAAGAAAAACAGAAAGTTTCCATGTGAATGTGATTACTCGTGGGAATGTTACATTAAATTTAACCATGAGAAACAGGGGAGAGTTGGATGAGTTGCGACAGGGGAGAAGTCGTGCCATCCTTTGCTTCTAGGGAAACATGGGACTAATTGGTAATTTGACCTCTCATTTTCGAAGACTCAGCTGTTTTACTCATTCTAAAAAGAAGATAGACGTCATTCAAAAGATGAAGACACATTTAAAAGAAAAAAAATATGTATTATAAGTTAGGATTAAGGGTTTTTTATTATGTGTGTGAACTGTCGAGGATAAGTTTGAAAACTTTTTTTTACATGTTTCTTGCTTTTGTAGGTTACACTGTGAGTTTATGTAGCTGGCATGATGTCAGCTCAAAACTGCTGGATGATGAAGTTCTTCTTTAAAGTCACTTCAAGTAAAAACTGGCACAAACTCACCTCACTCTACCCTGTGATTCATGTAAAAATACATGTTATGCTCATGACAAATGCAATTTTGGTGAATTTTGAAGGTATAATATGTAAAACACATGTGAAACCGCTGCAATTACATATGGTGCTCATGTGTAATTGCACATGGCATCTAAAATCTGAAGCTTTTTATGTAAAATGTGTAATCTGAACTCGGTTGCAACGGTTGTACATTCCAACAACAGTCTGCAGATTTGTGTGCACCTTGGATTTATGTGTCTTCCTCAAAGATGCTTCAACAAATTGTGAGCAAAGCTGAAGTCAAACACACAACCCATCAACATGCAAATGTTGGCACACATTTCACATGTGACAAAAAGGACGGTCGAAATAGTTTTTTTTTATCAAAATGTACAACTTCAAAAACATGCACTTCACTTGTTGGAACATTCCCAGGTATTTTATATATTGAAACATGCAAAGCTTGTTGACAAAAATTTCAAATGTGACAGTAAAAATGTGTTAAAAATGAATATAGCCATATGTGCAGCATTCAAATATGGGAACATTTCCACATATGCAACATTTTTCCTACAGGCATTTCCCATGTGGAAATTTTTTCCCTTATTTGAAATATATTGTGATCACATTTTCCATTTTGCAACAATTCCTCCATCCATTATCAAATGGTGAAAATACAACTTCAAATATTTTTATTCTGTAATGAACATTTTGTTTTCTACTATTATAATCATGTCCAAGAAAGATTGTTGTGCTAAATAACAAATTTCTTCTAAATGACTGTGGTTACTAAGCAGGACATGATTTTTCTCTTCCAGGGATTTCTGGGTTGCTTTTCTAAAGACACATGTAATATAAAGGCAAAGCCACAAGCAGAGGAAGGAAGAAATGGGTGGAGATGTCAGCTGATGATCTGTAGAGATAAAAAAGGTGGAGTTAGACATAAGTCACAAGTCATTTTACATTCACAGAAATCCTTGTTTTCTATTAAGCTTAAAGAAGTTAGGTTTTACAATGTAGCAGCACTTTCTGTATTCTCACTTCTACTGAAGCTAGGGCAATAAACATTTTTGAAGAATAAGCAACATTTGAGTCTATACAACAAGCTAAACTAGGCCTGATTGGATCGCAAGTGCGCTGGTGGACCAGAGCACTTAAAATAATGCATTGCTTTCAATATTCATTAAATTGTGTATAACTGAAAAACACGGGTACCTGAAATAAATATTCTTTTATAAAACACATTTACAACGTTTTCCAATGAAAAGAGTTCATCAAGGAATCAGAGGTTTTCATGTAGTTTTAATGTGAATATTTGTGGAAAATTTAACTTCAGTTAAATGTTGAACTTTGATGAAAACTCAACGTGTCTCACCTTGAAAACATGACACAGTTGTGGTTGCTTTCCAGACTAGATTGGCTCAGAACAACTTCTGTGTACTCTTCATCGTCTGCAGACTTTTTATTTATTATACTCTTCACAGTGAAGAGTTCAGCTGGAGATAGGAGTAATTCCCCAATATTTCTCAGACAAAGTTGGTCATCCAGGTTGACATAGAAGCAAGTTTTTATTTTAAAAATGGTTATGTCGTACAAATCTATAGAGCTTAAATCTGAGTTGGCTGCTGTGAAACTTGCTAATCTCACTCTGGAGTTTATTTCTGGTACTTTTTCTCCAGCTTTCAGGGTGGCATATACCTCTCTGCACTCCTTTGGCTTCAGCAACATCATGGAATCCATCAGCAGGAAATGAAGAGCCTTGAAATGGAAGTCCTTTTCATACGTGGTAACATTCACCATCATTGTCTCCACTGCATTGTTCAGCTCCTCTAAAAACTCTGCATCTCCGAAGTGATAGACGGAGAGGGCAGAAGTGTGGTCTTCAGTACCACCAGGGATCTGTGAGGTACAGTTACTCCATGCTCTCCACTCTTCCCATTTACTCCATACTTTCTGCAATTTCTCACTTTTGCCAAGCTCTTCTTTTAATAGATCAGGAGTAAACTTCTCCATGGCTTCTTTACGACATCCATCATACCGGTCGTCAATAACAGGTGAGGTAGGATCCAACAGTTTGACATCACCCAGGGAAACCTTTAAAATCAATAATCACAGGATGAAAGACTTTTACTGATGTGATTGCTTTTAATGTTTCCTGAAATAGTCAAAAATACTTACTTGGCTGTAGAAAAATGAGAATAACAGTGTGTCCAAAAGCAACGTTCCCCTGCCCAACATGTTAGAGCCCTACTCTTCAAACTGCTGTTACAGAAAGAAAACTCTCTTCACTCGGTCCAGACTGTACACACGACCAGGATTACTGCTCAACTGCAATAGTCTGATGAGCTACAAATCCTCCTAAATCTGATTTTCTCCTTGCAGGCTCCAGATAACTGTACAAAGAGACAAACTCGAAGAAAGTACAAGAAAAATTCAAGGCTATCTCATAAGGGGCTGTCCATGAACATTACAGTGCAGTGGAGAGTGTGATTTCTGCAGAGCTGTGAGAATGCTTATCTACTGATGCAGCTCCCCACTCTTCCTGGGGAAGGAAACCCGACTATCAAGGGAAAAACTCTTGTGTAGCTATTGGCCAACTCTCAGGGAAGAATTAAATTGCAATGGCTTAAACAGAAGTGCTCTCATCAACTACATTCCTTTCTTTTCTCTTTTTTTTTTTTTCCTTTCACGACACGAAGTTATTACAACATGTTCTCAACTACGGCACCGTACAGCAATTTGACACAAACAGAGCTGGCAACACCCTGATATGGGATCTATGCCAAGTTCTTTGGTACGAGTTGAGAAATAAACATGTCCAGATGTTTTGACAGCAATTACAGCCGTCCCACTTTTTGTCTCTACTCTCAGTGAACTTTGAAGCATTAGCTATTCTTCCTTTATATATATATATAAATATTAATATACATAATAGTCTCTGCAGCACAAGATTAATTTCACTTAATGATTTTCACATATAATTTTCAGAGATGCCAGGACGAATGCTGACAACATCAAATCGTAGTTTTTGTTAGTTGTTTTTTGCCTTCCCAGAAATATATTTTTATCACACAATGTTTGACAAAACAGTCCAGGAAATGCAACAAAACTTTCTAAAATAACATTTTCGAAATTGCTAATATCAAGATCAACGTCAGAAATCAATTTTAGGAGAGTTGCTTTTATTTTGAAAAGCTCCACCGGAAAACGTGAACGAGACCATCAGTTGTATGTGAGCGGGGGCGCGGACGGCCATGGTTTCGTTGAACTACCGAATAACATACAACTTTACACAGTGTGTTAATTTCAAGACTGTTAATGGCATTGTAAGAGATGATAACGTTAAGGTTGCGATTAAAAACGCAACATTATTTTGCTGTATATTTGGAGCTAAATCACGTGACTAGAGGAAGTCCATTTCCGGTTTGCGAAGCGCCAAAACAGAAACGTCTGTTTACGTCGAGTTGCACGCAGAAGCTGGACGGAGGCTCGGTGGAAACAGGTGGACATTTTTCTCGTAAACACAACGTTAACGTAACGAACCGAGCTACTAGGCGCAGAGTCTCCTATCTAAGCTAACAAGTTAATTTATTAGCAGTTCCTGAGAGGAAGGTTTTTCTTCCTGAGGCTTCAGTTTGATTTATTTTTACTTTTCCAATCCCACGCCTAATTAAACCAAAACATAGGTTTAGTTCTGCTTGAAATGTACCTTACATAGGAAAAAACAAGAAAAAAACATTCTTCTCTGTTGTCTTATTCAGTGTTGCATCACAGTGAAGTAGAAGGAAACATGACCTTTTGATCCAATGTTAATGATAAAACCTCCACTTTGCTGCAGGCACAGTGTTTTGGTGAGTTTCCATCATCATGACACATAAACGCTGATATCTTTGCCCATTCTTCTAGGCAAAAAGGTTAAAGCTCCGTGAGATTGGCTGGAACTCCAGTCTGTAGGTTTTGACATATCATAATTGTTGCTCTATCTGTATTTTTATGGTCATTGTCCTGCTGGAAGGTGAGCAGGGATGAATCTGCAACCTTTACAATCCTAAAAGCCAAGTTTTTCTTTTTTTGTTCCCATTTCTAACGGGCCTTATGATAGAATTCATTTTCATAAAAAAATGTATTTTTATGGCCAGAATGTACTTTATCGTAATGAATGAATGAATGCTTAATTAACATAGTGTGCCATGATGCTTCAATATGAGTTCCTCTTAAGATCTTCACTGATCAACTGGATTCATGAAATTACTCACAATTGGGTCCCTTTGAATGTAACAGGTTGCACTGGGTTTTATTGTAGGGAGTGAAAGTAAAAGGGAGGAATATAAATGAATGCCGCACTCTGTAGATTTTTATTTGTAAAAGAAAAAAGAATACTATTTACTTCTTCTTCACAAATAAGCTCTCTAGTGGTGGTATGAATGCTTTTCTTTGTAAATCTTGCAAAAAAGGCGAAATGATGATCAAAAAATCTAATCCGAGAAACGTCTTATAGTCTTGCTGCTGTCTTGTTATTTAAGTAGACTAGGATAGGATCAAAGCTTTTAAAAGTCTCATTTTAAAAAGTAAAAACAATACATTTTCTCCTTGAGGAAAAATGTTTTACACATTTAAAATGTTACAGGTTAACTCACCAAAGCCGTACATTGTCATTGTTTACCAACACTTAGCATTTCCTTCCAAGGGCATTTGAACTTGGTTTTCTTCTAATTTTTTGGATTATGCTGTTAAGACAGAAAATTGTGCAAAAACTCTTTTTTTTTCTTTGCAGACTCATTGAATTGCATGTAAGTGGTTACCAGGACCTGAGGATGAGCAGGTGGGGAGAGAGGCTGAAGAAGGTGGAGCGGCTGGCTCTGTCGTTTCAGCAGAACCCCTTGACGACGCCGTACAAACCTCGGCTGTGGCCGAACCAGCCCTCCTCTGTCTGGAAACTCTTCCCTCGACAAAACCTGGCCATCAGCTTCGCTCACAGCTGCAAAGAGGTACCTCTTTAATGAGCAATGTGTCGCTCACTCTGTGTGAGGAGCGGAAGCAGCCAACGCGTGTCATTTGTTTGATTTACAGGCTGTTCATGTTTTTGCACTTGAAAAAGAAAAAGCTTTGTTGGGTCAAAGGATTTACCTGGTCACAAGTTACAGCGAACTGTGGCATTATTACAGGTAATATTCAGAAATGTTTTTGCCACTGACTTTCTGTTGTTTCTGTCTTTTTCACCTAAAAATGACCTCAAATGACAGTTTGTACCTCTACATTTTCTAGGGTGTACCCGCAGTCCTTGATGCATTGTTATGAGGTGATACCAGAGGGGGCGGTGTGTAAGCTGTACTTCGACTTGGAGTTTCACAAACCTTCAAACAAAGGGTCTGATGGAAACTCTATGGTTTCCCTGTTCATCAAGGTTGGCAACATTTGAATGCTCATGATAATAATCAGACATTTGTGTCAACTTTTGCTTCAGCCCATCTGGTTGAAAGTTTGACCTGCTGTGTGTTCAGAGCATCTATTGCACATATTGTTATTTGGAACGAGCGGCTTCGCTGGCCTTCCTGTGATGTGGAACCAGTCTCCCTGTTCTCCTCTGACATGGCATTCTCGTACATGCAACTGAAGATTTCTGAATATTTTTATAAAACCCAGCCAATAATTGAGTGTGATGCTCATGTGTTATCAGACGTTTCAGAAATATTCACACCAAGCGCACTAAAATCCAATTTTTTCCTCATCGATTTGAACTTCATTAAGTTGTCTTCCCCAGCATTCAGTTGCTGCCTCGTGATTGGCTGTTTGTGGGAACAAACCGATGAACAGGTGTATCTAATAAAGTGGCCCCTGAGTATGTTGCCTAAACGTTGCCTTTGTTGCTGTGTCTTGGCAGTATGTCTGTGACAAGTTGGTGGAAGTTTATGGGATTGAATGCTGTGTGAAAAATGTGCTGAACCTGGACTCCAGCACGGAGGAAAAGTTCAGCCGACATCTTATCTTCATGCTACAAAATGCAGCTTTTAAAGACAACATCCATGTTGGTATGTGGAGCCTCAGATGGAGACCGTAAAATGGGGGTTTTCCATTGATTATTGATCTGATATTCCTTATTATTATCTTTTAGGTAGATTCATCCATGCTATTCTTCAACCCGTAATAAGCAAGCTCAAAAGCGACAGCCGTCTTCATAAAGGGGACATTTCACCGACAGACTACAGGCAGTCCGTTTTCTTTTTAAGACTTGTCAAAATAAATGTCCACTTATCATAACCTTGTGTAAATCTTCTTCTCATTGCAGCACAAATATTGATGCTGAACTGGCTCAGAGTCCAGATATGAAAAGGCAGAAACAGGAAGTGAGAGATCTCAGCTTCCTGCTGGTGAAAAACAAGGACGGTCGTAACGGCCTTTTTGTTGATCTGGGTGAGATGAACCACAGTGTTTTATTTAAAAAAAAAACAAAATGAACAAATCACTCAATATTAAATGTATTTAAATTTATACATATGTTTTTTTTATAAAAAAAAAAATCAGGTTTTAGGATTGAGTTGAGAACAAAACGGATGAAGATAAAAACCTGCCTAAAGTTTTCCAAAGATAGATATTGATTAGAACTTTTTTTTGTTTGTTTTAATAACATCAAAGCTTTTGTGGCCCTCAGATCTTTGTGAATTCACCCATGGGTGGGAATAGGGCCAAAATTAAAAAACAAATTATCACCTCAAGTTTTAGTTTTTAAATTAGATTACGATAAGAAACCTTTCCCAGAAGACCAAAGAGCTCTGGCGGGTGTGCAAAGTGAAAACAGATGATGATCATTCAAAGCTTTAAAGTCATTCAAATGAACTTTAAAAGAATCTTGTCAGCATTGTTACATTTTTTCATTTCTTTTTATGAATGAACATTAGAGTGATAAGTCTAAGGAAAATTTATGCCAGCGGACTCTTTGTAAATAGTTTTATATCTTAAATGTCTGGATTTTATTCATATGAATTTACACAAACAGGTGTGTACACCAAGAACAGGAACTTTCGGCTGTACAAGTCCTCAAAGGTGGGGAGGAACGCAGCATTCACCGTGGCTGAAGACAACCAGTTCACTGGCAAACCTGCCAAAGGAAAGTCTGCTGAAGAAAATGTCTTCCTGGCATCTTTAGTGTGTAACATCAGGTACATTTGAGCTTTCGAAATGTTTTAAACTTAAAGGTGGTTGACGTTTGGACCGACACTTGTTTTTTAATTTTTTTTTTTTTTTTATTAGTTTCACGGGCCAGAGGATTCTTACATGGGACGATCCAGAAACAAAAGAAGTTAAAAATCCAACAGCACACAGTCACCTGGGTCTCGATTCAAATCAAGGTAATGCCAAACTTAATTTAACAACATTTCTTTTCTCCAAATCATTATGCACTGGTCTGTGTTGATCGTCTGCTAAACAGTGAAGTTGGAAAGTCTTTGATAGATTCTTTCCCCTTCAAAATGGTAAATATTTTTTGTTTTATGTCATAGAAGTTTTCGAGCTTGCAAGAAAGCACTGAGCAAATGGTGCGAAGGGTTATGTTTTATTATTTTGAATACTTTCGCTCAAAACTGCTTTTTTATTTCTGACAGGCACATTTTCTGGCTGCCTGTCCTCTCCTTACAAAGAAGTGGACAACTTTGTGTTTACCTTGGTCAGAAAGGATGGGGTTCAGGGAAGTAAGTCTGACCACAAGCAGCACTTCTGAAAAACCTGTTTTCTTTTCAAATAATAACAAACAAAAAAAACAACAAACAATATTTTTATTCAATTTCAGCAGAAATTCAATTCAATCCTTTATATTAAACTAGATGGGAAATGTCTCTTACCATTAGTTTATAACTTCTGTAATCATATCTTGCACCACTATATTCTAATTCGAGCATTTTGTAGGTTTTTCAACATTAAGTTGTTGTCAGAGACGTACTTGGGGCCCAGATCTCTGAATCTGTCTTCCTGAACTCACCAGGCATTCGACGATGGAACTACTTTGCTGCAGACCAACTTCTCGTTTATGACATCGCCAAATATCGCTGGTGTGAAAACATCAGCAGGTTCCATAAGAGCAACAACATCATGTCAGTTTGACACCTTGCTTCCAGCTGAGTGCTTTCTGGGCTGCAGTTGTTCTCATTTGGCCGCCTCCTCCTTTGCAGGATTGTTGTGGACCTTAAAGAGGAGGTCTGGTACCAGAAGTGTCATGATCCAGACTGCAGGAACTTCAGGTCCTCAAGTATGCCTGATCTTTTTTTTTGTTGTTGTTGTTGAATGGAAAATTTCAAAATAAAAGTACCTTTGAAGGAAGAAGTTGTAAAGTGGTGATGGAAGCATTTTCTGTCGCAGGTTTCCCACTTCCACAAGAGATCTGTGTCAGCTACATCCTGACTCTGGTGACTCCATATCAACATGTGTTACAGCAAATGAATAAAAAACGAAAGACTTTTTGTATTTGTATCAGAATTAGCAGGTCTTCTTTCTCCCTGACAGGATGAGGAGGATCAGGCGTACCTAATGGACGACACTGGCAACATTGAACCCAGCCAGCCCCCAAACAGCTCCGTGCATCCGACAGAGGAGACTCCTGAAGTGTGGGGAGATGAGCAGGACGAGCGTGAATTTTTAAAGAGTCTGAATGATTTTGAACAAAAAAGTACTGAGATCTCAGATGAGCTTCTACTCACATGTGTGGCAGACTTTGACTCCTAGCAGGCGACAAAGATCGGTGCTTCCAGTCGCCACAGCAGAACGTACTCCGAAACAAATCATAGTTTAAAACAACTTCTCAAACTTATTGACTCAGGATAAATGGCAATAAAAGACTATTAAGACACATTTTGTAAAAAGAAATAATACTGCAGTCACTTTAATGTTCTTATAACTTAATGTGCAATAATCTGTTCATTAAATGTTTCTGAAGTCCAAACAGAATTGCATCTTTTATAGATTTGTAATCAAAAAGTGTCCTATTAAATGACAAATGCAACAGAGCTTCACAAAAATGTTGAAAGATATTTTATTTGACAACAATCCAATTACTTCTGACAAAGAAAATTTTATTCCACCCCTCAAAATTTATTTTACAAGAGACATAAAAATGCAGCAGAGCTGATAATGTCAGATATTATATATTGAGTTGTGCAGACAATGGCTCTAAATTGAAATTAGACATTTTGTTTTTAGGCAACATGAAGATTTCAGACCATCACACAAACACTTCTGAGTTAACTATGCCGTCTTCCAGGAAATCACACGAAAACATCCTCCTTCTAAACATGTCATATATATATATATATATATATATATATATATATATATATATATATATATATATATATATATATATATATATATATATATATATATATATATATATATACAAGCTTAAAAAACTTATCTTGAAACCTCTGGCATCTATTTTTTTTAATATAAAACTTTAAAATTGATACAGGAAAGTGCCATTTTAGTAAATATTAGCAGCGCATCTTTAAAATTTACCACAATTTCAAGTTTTGACCAATTTCACCAACTCAAAATAAACAACATCAACAGAAATGCTATAAATCTCTTCCTTTAAAGATATTTCAATTTATAATTTCTATGTTCTAAGCTGTTCCTTATTAAAAACATTTCATCTGTAAAGCTGTTGAGGTGAACAGAGTTGTCTTGAGTTAATAGGTTTAATGCTACTATCCTGCGTTTTCATACTTTTGTATGTGAACAAGAGAAGCTGAACATTTACAAAGGCACCAAATTTGATCATTTTATGATCAGTCCTCAAAAAAATAGTCATTGTTGCTTCATGCTTCATGTTATGTGGTTTGTTTTTTCTTTCAAGATGAAGGTCAGAAGCAGCACAAGCTCTTTAGGGGACATGTTGAGAAATGTCTGAGACAGAACGAGACAACAGTTTCACTGATCATATTACAGCAAATATGTTCTCTTTTATCCTTTTGTTTTCAACCTCTTCAAACCTGATCTTTGGAAATCTCTGCGCTAATCAAGACCAACATCTTAAGTCAGTCGTGTTGTTTTTAAAGAGACGTCCTTGCTTGTATAATACAGCTACATTAACTATTTTACATGCACTATACAAAAACAAAGGCACATGAACCCTAACAGGCTCTTACCTAAACTTCTCTTTATACATCCTAACCAACTCCACCCTTCAGCCTTCAATGCTGAGACACACAGGAATGCAGGAGATTATAACTACAGAGTCTCAGACATGCTAATCTGCATACAAATATAGTTTTTCAGGACAAAAAAAACTATTTACAGGCATGGTGATCACATTAAATACCAACTTAAATAGCTCACCAAATCATTAAATAGCTTGGCATATAAATAGTTGTGGTTGAGTCAATGTAAAAGCACTTCAGAATATTTTCTCCTAGAATAAAAAAAGTCAAAACCATTCTTTTAGTTGCTGAAATTTTCTGGCAGTGAAGACATGAGGAGTTCAGGTTTCAATTTTCAAGAGTTTTGTGCAATTATTCACGTATGAAGTTGACATTCATTCCCCTATTTGTTTGACACGACTAGAAAATCATTTGAATTATCACCAGGTAGACAAAATACACAGAATCTTCTCAAGAAGCGGTTGTTTGCATGGCCATGCTGTGCTAGTTACTTGGTTCCAGCTCACATTTTGATTTTGGCATAAAGTTCATCAATCTGCTCTCTGAAGTGACTCCGGAGCTCGTTCCTCTTGGCCTTCAGGGTGGGGGTCAGCAGACCGTTTTGAACAGAAAACATCTCGGGATGTAATGCGATGTCTCTCACCTACAGAGGAACAGAGGGATCAAAATAAATGAGCAGATGGTTTACCTTTGGTTCTACATCTGTTTTCATGTCCATTCAAACTGGTGAAATACGTTGCTGCATCACTTCTACAAAGTTTTTTGACATTTGACGGAAATATTTTGGCTAACATTAGATACCTGTTCAAAAGACTTTAGTCCACCTTCTTTGCCCAAAATAAAAATGTCCTCCAGAATGGCCGCCTTGACATCCTTAAATGGAAGAAAAAACATGTCGGACCTGAAATCTAGAGTTGTGTGATTAGACAGCAGCGTTTTATTAAATCAAACCTTGTTCCCGCACAGCTCAAGGTAAGATCCTTCAAATCCTTTTTTCTTGGCCCAAATAGGTAAAAAGTCTGGATCCGGTACCACTATCCCCACCAGACATGCCTAAAATCCAAGAAAGACCAAAGTTAAATTGAGCAAAATAGTTGTAGCATTACAAACAGGTAAATTTCTTTAAAATGTAATGCATCTGGATGAATAATTAACCTTTAAGCTATCCCCATGAACAAATATCTGAGCCACTGGATCGCTGCGGTTGTAGATGGTCTCTATTTTCTCCGGGGCGATGTACTCTCCTTGTGCCAGCTTGAAAATGTGTTTCTTTCTGTCAATGATCTTCAGAATGCCATTCTGCAGCAAATCCAAAACACGTTTTTATAGCTTAAAACTTCCACATCTTCTGAATCATAATTTTATGTTCCAATTGCGTTTTACTCACTGGAAGCCATTTCCCAATGTCGCCTGTGTGCAGCCATCCATCCTTGTCGATTGCCTCTGCTGTTCTCTCAGGGTCTTTCAAGTAGCCCTTGAATACGTTTGGTCCTTTGACACACACCTGCATTGAAGCACGGGTTACAGATCGAAATTTCACGCCAAAAGGCAAAAAGTCTCTCCAACACTCAGTTTAAGACAATTTTGTCTAAATCTACGAAAGAATCGTGGCTTTTGACTCAGAAACAAACCACTACTTCTTTACCTTCTTTAATGTATTAAATCTAACTGCGCATACTTTATGGTATCTTCTGTTTTCACAGTTTATGTTGATTTCTTTCTATAAGAGTATGCTAAAAATGCTTCAATGTACCAATCGTAATTATTTTTTCAGGCCTAAGATTTTTTCTATGTATTAAATCCATAAAAACTGAGAACTGCCATCATTTTGGTCTACAAATACCTCAACCAACAGTGTGTGCCTTGTTGGACTTTGACTTTAGACTTAATGAAAACCGGGTAAAATTTAGGGACACGTGCTTTAATGTGTAAATGGGAATAATCTTGCAATTCATTCATAATCTGTTGAATTCAAAACTTTTATCTCCATCATTGAGATTAATGGACAATAGTTTTTAAACTCCACAGCTGAATTAAAGCAAAGCTTACACAAATGAGTTTGTAGGTTTTACAGTCTTCAAGGGAAAAAAAAATTGTCAGTATATCAAATACCAGTTTCCTGGAAACCAGTAAAAACTCTGGTTAAAGGTTAATCCTCACCTCTCCTTCTCCATTTGCTGCTAGGTAATTCATTTCTGTCACATCCACTAGTTTTACCGCATTGCATGGCAGAGGAGGCCCAACGTGACCTGAGGACACAACATTTATGTTAAGTTTCATTTTTGTTTGCACATTCTTGTCCTCAGATGCTACATTTACTCATAACTTATTTAAAGTTTAAGAAACTTTTACCTGCTGACCAGTCCCCAGGCATGGACATGGTGCACCCAGCAGTGCATTCGGTCTGGCCGTAGCCTTCGTAAAACTGTAAGAAGAGATTTTACTGGTGACATGAAGTCAAGTGAACTTCTTTAGTTCAGTAAATAGTGATATCAGTTATTAGAAATATTTATATGGACCACTTATCATATTTGGGGACTGGTGTCTTTCTCCATAAATAAATTAAATTATTAATTAAAAGTCCAAATAATTTCTGTGAATTTTTAAAAGCCCCGAGGCTTTTAAATGGATCGGCCATATTTTCTTCCACCATTGGCTCAAATTTAGCTTCTTTCGCCTTCCCATTAACTCCAACTTCCCTGTCTCTAACAAAAATACTTCCCACAGCGTGATGCTGCCGACCCCATGTTTATCTTTGAGGTGTGTGTTATTGCAATATTGCTTATAACCAGTCAAATCACTCTGCCTAGAGTTCGTGAAAACACTTTGACTCCAATCAGAACGAGAAATATATTTCTATCCAGGTAAACACAGAAGTTGTGACTGACCTGGCAGCCGAGAGCGGCCCGTAGGAAAGTCAGGATGGTTGGAGAGACAGGGGCTGCTCCGGTGATCATGAGTCTGACCCGGCCGCCCAGGCTCATCTGTGGAGATTAAATTCATGCTGAAGTGTAAATGTTTCAAAGAACGTGACCTTATTGTTGATCAAGACGGTTACATCAAGCTGTGCTGACAATCTACTGCTGAGCATGCTGTGTCCTGAGACCTGGCGAAATGTTTTTAAAGTGTATGGTTTCATCAGAACAAAATGTGTCTATTTTCTAACCTGTACTTTTTTGAAGATGAGTTTATCCCACATGCTGTCCTTCCTCATCACCCCATTTTTCAGCTCAGATTCCTTCCTTCTGAAGGCGAAATCCAGCAGCCATCTTTTGAGAGGTGTGTTGGCCTGGCTGAACACCTGTCGAGAAATGAGAATATCTCAGGTTTTCCACATCATTGAGGTGAACGAACTAAATAAAGCAACACAATAGATACATAAAGGCGAGGCAGAGTAATAGAAGAGACATCAAGCGTTGTCTGACCTTGTCAAACATGCGGTTGAGGAGACGCGGGACGACGGGGAAAACTGTTGGCTGCAGAGTTTTCAGATCATCCATTAGGAGTCGAATGTCTCCTTGGAAGTAGCCGATCCGTGCCCCGTGGATAAGGACGACACCCTGACAAAGAAAACATTCTATTTATTTCTGTGGCGAATCAAATCTTACATTTTTTGGCCACAAGAAGGCAGCATTTTACACATCAATTTTAGTTAGTGGACATTATTCCATCACACCCAATTTCTAACTTTTAGTAAACTAGTGCTGCCACAAGTTTTAGAGCCACTTCAGAACTTGTGAAGAATACAGATTGCTTGAATTTTGTTCAGCTGGTCTTATCGTGAAATAAAACTTCATTTAACACAGACGCTATGAATGGTTCAAGAAAGGCAGCGCAATAGGGAGACCTCATGACTTGGCAGAGGAGCCATGGCTGTGCAGACACATACATGTATGCACTGTTCCTTTTAACCTTTATTTTACTTCCTGTAAAGTTTATGTATCTGTCCTTAATGTCTACACGTTGTGAGTGCTTGAAACAGAAGTCAAATTTCTTATTTGCACA